CTTCCTTTCTCCAACTCTTCTAACTTCTTCCTAAGTTTAGCAATGTTGTCCTCATGAAGTTTAATCTTTCTCAAAATTCCTTCTCTATCTAATGTAGTGATGCGAAAAATTCCCAAACATATGGGGTTTCTCATATCCCGTCCCCTATCGTTTCCCCAATTCAATTTTTTTTTGGAATTTTATTTTTTTTCCCGCCCATTTGAATTAAAAATGGGCGATTTTCGTTAATGTGATTGAAATATCATAAAATTAATACGTATTTTAGCTAATAATTCTATTTTTATACAATATTCTCTCATTAAATCAACATTTTTTTCTAATTTTAATTTTTAATTTTTAATTTCTTCATAATTTTAGCGATTTATGCTCATTATTAGCAAATAAATAATATATATAATATACTTATTTCATTTTATTCGGATAGGTCTTTGGGATTGGGATACCTTGTCCAAATTCAGAGGAAGTTTGAGAGGTTGGGATGGGGTAGCCCATATTCAATTATCCAAGTGTACTCCACGAATTTAAAATTATATTATATTATTGATGACATATCTAAATTTATAGATAAAAATTTCAATGCGTACACAATTTTTTTGAGAAAATTCTTTTTTTTACTTATTTTCATTCATAAAAGCTCACGTGAACTTAATTAACAACTGAGACATTTCCTATGAAATCATTTAATGCCGTCAAAATAGACATGTCTAAGCTGTTTTGAGTGACTTTCGCTCGATGTCTGATGCAATATCAGACATCGAGCGAAAGTCTCTCATATTGGCAACACATCCATACGATCAATACTATAGCTACGAATTACAAGCCTGTTTGGGCAATTTTTGGCCGAGTTCTGATTTTTCATTAGATCTCGAGCGAAAGTCTCTCAAATTGGCTGCCAGTTCATAAGAGTGAAACTCTAGCTACGAATTAGAAGCTTGCTTGAGAGACTCTCGCTCGCGTTGGGATCTGCATCAGAACTCGAACGAAAGCCTCTCAAAGTGGTAAGACCTGCTCATTGTTGAGCAGGAGCTGCGTAATGTGTTCGAGTAGAGTGAGGCTCTTCTAAGATCTTCCTTGTGATTGGAAGAAATTAGAAGAGTCTCACTCTACTATTTTGTAATTGTATGCCCTGGCCTTTGAGTGACCAGGGCTGCGTAATGTGTTCGAGTAGAGTGAGGCTCTTCTAAGATCTTCCTTGTGATTGGAAGAAATTAGAAGAGTCTCACTCTACTATTTTGTAATTGTATGCCCTGGCCTTTGAGTGACCAGGGCTGCGTAATGTGTTCGAGTAGAGTGAGGCTCTTCTAAGATCTTCCTTGTGATTGGAAGAAATTAGAAGAGTCTCACTCTACTATTTTGTAATTGTATGCCTGGCCTTTGAGTGACCAGGGCTGCGTAATGTGTTCGAGTAGAGTGAGGCTCTTCTAAGATCTTCCTTGTGATTGGAAGAAATTAGAAGAGTCTCACTCTACTATTTTGTAATTGTATGCCCTGGCCTTTGAGTGACCAGGGCTGCGTAATGAATTCGAGTAGGATTGTACAATAGCTCGGCAAACGCCGAGCAAATTGATATAAACGTACATCCCACAAAAAATGGATTGTCAAAATTTATCCCAAATTTTACAAAACCGCAGCGGTTATGACATCCCAGGGCTAAAAAAATTCGGAAACTCGCATCTCTAATCTAATGGTTGCTTTATCTTTCTAAACTGAACTCTACCATCCTTCATAGTATGAATGTAAAAACCTTCTGGAATAGTTCCTGATTTAATGTATTCTACCAAAAACTTTTGTTTCATTGCTTCAGTGACTTTATTTGTCAGTTCAATCAAATAAAAATTTTAATATTAAATAAAAATAACGTTATTTTTTCAGTATGGAAACGCAGGAGTTTTACGATTTATTTGAGGAGTAGGTTCTGGTTTAAATGTTGGAGTCGGTTTAGGAGTTGACTTTTGAACAGGAGTTTGTACTTCCATAGGTTCAGGAGTCATTGAAGGTTTTGCTTGTGAAGGTGTTGGAGTTTGTTTAACTTCAACTACTTCAGTATTATTTACAACATTTGCTTTATTTCTTTTCAACATCATAACTGCTCCTGCTGTAGCTAGCAAACCTAGTGGGAGACCATATCTTATATAAGGACTTGACCAAATGCTATTTTTGACAGGAGCTGGTGGAACACCTAACCTTGGTGAGACTGCTCTTTGCCATTGTGCAGCTCGTAAGAAATATTCAATAGGTGCTCCATAATCGTTTGGTAAAGTTTGTTTCATAGATGGTGAAGGTTCACGAGAGCTTGATGAAGAACTCATTTATAAGCTTTAAAAATAAACGTTCATCCCTTTATTCCTCACTGTCGTCCGTAGCTAAGTTATAGTCATCTAATCTTATTATGGGGATTCCATTAGCACGCACCTGAATGGCAAAGCAACAATCCCTCATAAATCCAATAAGTGGCTTTGGTACATTTTCAGTTGCTAGTTCAATAGGTCCTTTAACAGACAATTTGTATGTTATTGGAGCAGTAGATGTTTGACCTTGCTGGAAGCAAAAGTCCACTTCTGTTGGAAAACCACATAAGAAATGTGTGTTGTCATAGCTATCCCATTTATGTTCCACACTACCATCATCCACCAATGACCTCATAACATCTTCATTAAATCCTATCATATCATTGTTTGTATTGCAGGCGTTCGCAACCATTTCATAAAATACAGGTCCATATGATTTTTCAGGTTCTGCAGGCATATTTCCATAAGCTCCCATGGAAAGCTGAAGATATTTAAACTTAGGGTTCTCAAAATTAACATAATAGTTGTCTTTCTTTCTAAATAGTGCCCAAATACTTTTAACATTAATAGGCGTATAAGCTGCTGTAAATGTTGCACTTGAACTATCTGTATTCTTTGAGAATGAACCGTCCATAGGAATCCAATCCATAACTTTAACAGGAAAACATAAAGCCTCGTTTGTATAATGTTCTACAAGTTCTGTATAAATGTTAGGGTCTAAAGAGAATGACTTTGGATGAATGAAACATTCATTAAAATCCATCTTTGTTCGAAATAGTTGCTGGGTTACAGTTGTAATAGTAACTGTTCCACTAGCTTCTACTGCCTTCGTTATCATAGTGAATGGTTCATTCCATGGAACAAATTTATTTGTCGGTGGATTTGAATCTGAAGCAAATGCAACTTTAAGAGTTGGATTGAAAGCAATGATATCATTTACAGATATAGATGTGCATTGTAAGGCGTCGCTACTGAACTTTACTTTAAGCTGAACGTTTCCTCCAAAAGCTGGAATAAATCGAATAGCTTCTAATGGAAGGAATCTTCTAACAGGAATTCTTAAACGAAGCTTAAAATCAAATGATTTTCCTGCTGTAATTGGACCACTAACAATTTGTCCTGTTCTGCATGTTCCCGAATGACTCCATACATCTTCATGTCGAGTCTTTGAGAAAACATCTACTTTCTTTATTTGTTCGGTAGTTTGTGAGTTTGAAGTTATATATGCTTCTTCTCTTGCGTTGTCTTGAGAATATACGATACGACCATTTGCAAGGATTTGATATCCAGCAACTGCATAGAAAGCGTCATCGAAACCAATCCAAAATCCTGGTGGGTTTGTTTTATTGGAACCTGAACCAATTTCTTTATCTACAATAAATTGACCTTCCATTTTATACGTAATGAATGTATTGTAAAGGTCCAACATATTTTCACCAGGAGGTGAGAGATTGAATGTTACCCATGTGTTATCTTTAGCAGTTCCAGGTTGTGATGGAATCTTTGCGTCAGAATATTTTCTATTAGTGTCACCAATTTGAACTGCATTGTCTATGATATCGAAATATGAGCGAATCTGATGAATATGCTCTGCTGGAGTAAATTCGTTTAGCTGTTCGTTCTGCATGTATTTACTTCAGATAAAATATCTATTTACTTCATTATTCTCACTCTTCTTCTTGGCATTCGTGGTGGAAGTTGTTTCTTGACATTTTCAATGAACTGTACATTCTCTTTTGTCTCAACTTCTTTCACTGGCGGGTCAGGATTCTTTGACTCGGTTTGTTTTTCAATGAAATTCACGAACTTTGCAATAAGCTCTTGGTTCGTTATTGAAAGTACATCTGGCTTCTTTTCTTCTGGTTCTATTGGTGGCTCAGTTTGAACAGAAGGTTTTATATGGGCTTCGTGGACTTCACCCTTGCCATACACCTTAATGTTGTCGCTTTCTGCATTCGCTAATGGAACCTTTCTTTTTCTTACGTATATTTTACCATCTTTACTCTGACTTACGTAATAGAAAGGATGTTGTACTCCTCTGGCGTCATTTAATATAATAAACTCTCGTTCTGATTTTGACAAGCTCATTTTCCATTGGTTAAAGTTTTAATTTTGTTTTTTATCTGCAGTCAAATGACTCAGACAAGCCCTACGGACAAGACCCAAGGGGTCATAGATGTTGAAGCATTGAAGAAAGAAATTCGTGAGCAAATTTTATCCGAACTGAAGGAACAAAAACAAGAACAAAATCCAGAGAGACCAAAGAGAAAACTTAGTGAAAAACAACTAGCTGCATTAGCTGCTGGAAGACAAAAGAACCCAAGACTACTGGCGAAAAAAGCTAGAGAAGAAGCAAAAGCAAAAGCTAAAGAAGCTGAAGCAAAGAAAGAGTAAATGGTTTATTTTTATCCGAATTAAATGTATAGACAAATACCTTTATCTGTTGCGTTCAGTAGTGAAAACCCTGACGTCAAAATAAAGGGGAACAGAGTAACGTTTAAGTTTCCAACAGACTGGATTGTGAACATAAATGAAGAGAAGTACATTGGCATAACAAATATGTATATAACACATGCTTTCAGAAAGGTTGACTTTATACTTCAAGTCGAGATAGAAAATGACGAACAGTCTTTAAGCGCCCAAAACATTCACATATACAAATACTTTAAAGACGATACAACATTGCTACAATGTATGATTTCATTTAATGAGATGTTCGAGAAAAAGTTCAACATTGAAGTACAAACTTTACAGCCTTTACGTGAGTTTCTTGCACAACTGAAAGAAGAAGGTAGTCAGCCACAACTTATAGACTTTCATTATGAATTTAATGAAAATGAAGATGGAACTCATGACTGTCAGTTTGTTATATATTCACCATTCAATGAAGTAGCTAAAAAGAAAGAAAATCCATTACGTATAAGATTTCAAATCTCTGAACCAAGTGATGATTTCAAAAATGTTTTCAATTATAATGCAATGCTTCCGAGGAAAAATGAATTTTCCGAAATTAGATTTCCAGGTATTTGGGATAGAAAGCAAGCTATATTATATTCAAACTTAAGTAAGGGAGTTGAAAATGAGTTCATTGGTCATACAAGGAAAAAACCAGAATTTTCGAAAAAGTGACACCAACTATTAAAGTTATTTTATTACTAGATTTATTTACAAATTATAAGATAATATCATTAACCGAATATATTTTTAATATAAATAAAAAACTTTTTTTATACAAAAAATTACAATCAATCGATAAATATTATAAAACATTTATTCCAAAAAGATTAAGTAATAGGTGGGATCCTGCATATAATATAATTTTATGTCATAAAGCTTACAAATTTTAGATGGACCACAGTGAGAATGTGAGTGGTTAATTTAAAGGTGGTCTGATAAAGATATCGAAGCTTACTCAACACAGCATGAAGCAGTTTCTAATACACAATCTTACTAGTGGTGTTTCGGTCGCCAGCGCTCTCATAGGGGTGCTGATTTCAAAAACCACTACTTCAAATTATTCAACAATACTCAATGCAGCATGAAGCAGCTACTACTGCTGTATCTTACTGGTAGTGTTTTGGTCGTTGGCTCTTGCACAGTCTCTCAGATTTTCAAAATTTTTTTCAACACTATCTTGTTTCGCTCTCAGAAAGCTATCCTACAAAGACATCGAAGCTTACTCAACACAGCATGAAGCAGTTTCTAATACACAATCTTACTAGTGGTGTTTCGGTCGCCAGCGCTCTCATAGGGGTGCTGATTTCAAAAACCACTACTTCAAATTATTCAACAATACTCAATGCAGCATGAAGCAGTTTCCAATTCAACAATACTCAACACAGCATGAAGCAGTTTCTAATAAATATATACATATATAAATATATACATATATAAATATATACATATATACATATATACATATATACATATATAAATATATAAATATATACATATATAAATATATACATATATAAATATATACATATATAAATATATACATATATAAATATATACATATATAAATATATACATATATAAATATATACATATATAAATATATACATATATAAATATATACATATATAAATATATACATATATAAATATATACATATATAAATATATACATATATAAATATATACATATATAAATATATACATATATAAATATATACATATATAAATATATACATATATAAATATATACATATATAAATATATACATATATAAATATATACATATATAAATATATACATATATAAATATATACATATATAAATATATACATATATAAATATATACATATATAAATATATACATATATAAATATATACATATATAAATATATACATATATAAATATATAAATAACAAAATACAATCAAAAAATAGTGTTTGGAAATTTAAGGTTAAGTGTCACTTTTTCGTAAATTCTACCACACTCGGTATTTGGGATAGAAAGCAAGCTATATTATATTCAAACTTAAGTAAGGGAGTTGAAAATGAGTTCATTGGTCATACAAGAAATTCACCACTTCCTAACCCTAAATACTATAAATTAACTGGCTTCAATCGTGAGTTTTGGATAGACATGTTCTCCACTCATGACCATAAAGCACCTGTTTTGCTACCTCCAGACCATAAGGACTGTCTCTACATTGAAGCACAACTCTTAAACTCTACCATCGCAGTATTGTAAATGACCACATGGGCTTATTTTTATCACGAATGACCTCATTGCTGACAAAAATAAATGACCTCAGAACTTCAACTTACGAATAAAGCTTGTTTTAGTCGTTATTGAGAAGTTAAACTTTTCAGCAAAGCAAGGACTAGAAGACTTACATAAGTCGAATGCAATCTCTTGACCATCATGAAGTGCTTTGTAAAGTTTCATTAAACTGAACTCAGAGTCTTTGTCAAATTTTCCTTGCGGAACCATTAAACCTTTATCTTCATCATAGAAACACTGAACAGAGTCAGGAAACATTTCATTAGCGGTTAAAGCAATAACATCTTGCTTCACGCCTTTCATTCTGCAGTGAAATGCAACTTCATTTAAATCATTCGTGAGTAAGTCTATGTAAGTCTTCTTTCCACAAAATATTGACTTGTATGCTAAACTTTGTTTATCTTTTGTGATTTCTGCAAAGTCGCTATGAAATTGACCAAGGTTTTACCAATGAGAATCTTCCATAACGCTTCTCAAACTCTTCAGCTAAACGAGGGATATCTTCAGTGTAGAGATGCATACTGTCCGTATCGCTATAAAAGATGTCCATTCCTAAGTGCTCAGCAGTACAGAATACTTCACACATTATTCTCCTTCGACATAGACAGAATGTTAACACCAAGTGGACAGAAGTTAAAGTGTCTGCAAATGCTTTTCGTTAGCTTGAAAATAGTTTTATCTGAACCATCCAAACCTTCGAACTTCACTATATGGTTGTAGTTTCTGATGGCATATCTTAGCATCTTTGTCATTTACTATGGTTATTTTTGACTCAATAGGAGATAGAATAGTTTTGCCATAAATACTGTTCAGAATGAGCTTTATATTTTCTTGCAAAGGATTTCCTTCTTTCTTATACTTTAACCTTATCTCAAACAACTTCTTTACTTCATCTCTTATTCTAATATCTCTGTTTCCATCGTAATAGTATCCTTGCAACACTTCACATTGACACCTTGATATTTCATGAGGTCTTGTAATGTTATATGGTCAACATACATTAACAGCAAGTGTTTGAACTTCTGGAACGTTAAGTTCTGGATTTAGTTCAGGGTCACAAACTATTAAAGGAAAGTGTCTATGTATTCCAATCTCTGTTATCTTAATGAGAACAAAGAAGCCAGACATAAAAACTTTTCACCAATGGGTTCCTTTTGGTCGTCATCGAATAAATGTCTCATGAGATACTCTGTGCTTAACATTTCTTTCTTCATAACTTTGGAATACCTTCTAAAGTATAAAGTCTTGCTATAGCTGATGGATATAATGAAACAGCGTCGAAATCAGCAATGAGTTTCTCTTTACTCTTTTGTTTAATGTTATCTGATAGCATACATCTTCCACCTTGAATACAGCGTGAAATAAATTCTCTTGGTTTATTTGAGAGGTCATATAAATTTCCATTCGGGAAGTACACTCTGTTCTCAAACAATTTGTTAGCAATAGAACAAATACTAACGTAGTCATATACGTTTAAATCAAACTCTTTCAATATGTCATTGCGGAACTTAACAAAACCTTCTCTTAAAATTCTTACATCTTGTTTGCAATAGAATGTGCTATATTTTTCTAAGTCGAAGTGGTTCTCATCTATTCTGCAACCTTTGATGGAATCTATGTTTTTCATGAATGTATCCGCATCCCGGATAAAATTACATGCTTCAGAAATGACACCAGTTCTGTTGTCATTTGCTAACAAAACACTGCTGTAGTAGTTGTATGGAAATACTTCTTTCGGTCCTGTTTGTAAGTTAAACATAGCAGGAAATAGTTTAAGCTTCTTATTTATAACACTATAAGAGTCTTTTATAATAATTGCCCTTCCTTTATATAAGCCAGTTATTTGCATTGTTCGTGAACCTTTAATGATGGGAGTTCCTTTCACTTCTGTCATGTGTCTTAAGATGAAGTTTATGTCATAACTGAGGTTATGGAAATATATTAAACTCTTGTCAGGAAGTCGTTCCAAAAATTCTGTTGCACAGTTCTGACCCCAAATGCTTTCACTCACTGAACCATCTTCACTGTCATAACAGATGTTAAAAGCTTTATGAACTCCATCAGTGCTACATTCAAAGTCAGCAAAGAAAACGTGCTCAGGAATGAACTTGCACTTATTTTTATTTACTTCTTTTGACTCGGCTTTCTTCTTCAGTTGTACACAATACTTTGGAGCATATGTCAAATCTTTAAATGGTGCAAGGTTCTGTTTATATAAGTCAGTCGTATATGTGAAAAGTTCTCCATAAGAAATAGGTTCAAAATATTTGCACTCCCACAATGTTTTCATAACATCCCATAACGGTGTTGTTCTATCATAACGAACTACATATTTGTTCTCTCTCTTTGTATAAATCTTCATCTGTTTCTCAATGTTCATTCCACCACACTCCTTCAAGATTTCTATATAGTTGCGAATGAAATATGTTGTCATTGGTAATCTTTCATTTAGCATGTAGTGGTCTTCAACAAGAAGTAAGTCAATAGTTCGAATAGTTTTACATTCTTTTGGTATGTATCTCTTTATTTCATTATGTCTTGAGTCATTGAAGTAACAAATGGTAACATTAAATGCTATACCTGTTGCGTCAGAAATTTCTTGTACTTTACTTTGAGGAAAGTCTCTAACACGAATGACTTCTCTCATGTGGTCAATAGTTTCTTCATCTACTCCAGCTTGAATGCAAGCATAAATGAAACAATTGTCTTCTGTCATAAGTGCTGCAGTTCTTTTGTTCAGTTCATTGAAGATTTGGTAGCGTTCAAGATTTATAGGTAATGTGCAAAGATACTTCCAGAACTGACCGCTTCTCTTCTTATAAAACTTCTTTTCACCATTATCTTTCCAAAAGCTTTCTATAAGTGCTGGGTTCCTGTTTGCTTAAGAGCTTCCAAAATGGCTTTCTGGTCATTTGTCAGTGTGCTTTCATCTCTATATGGTCTCTTTTTTGGTTTGCCTTTCTTTACATCTGACATCGTTAAGCCTTCATATTCTGTTAAATCATACATCTTTATTTCAGTAAGATTCTTTATGTTTGTCAAGAAGAAGTCATAGTGCATTTCAACAATACCTGCAGCATTTGCTTCTATCTCTGATATAAAGTTCTCCTTCAAGAGCTGATGTAGTAATGTTCCAATATTATTGAGGTTTAACGTAGAACATTCATACTTTCCACCAAGTTTATAACATACCATCCATCTTTGTTGGGAGTTTATTTTAATCTTCTCTAAGAGTCTCATGAAAACCTTACCGAAATGTTTGTGTAAGTAGTCTCTGTTTGGTTCATCTAAAGCTTCGATGTTAAAGTCAATGAGTCTATTGCCTGTCTTAACATTCCTCTTCCTATTCTCTTCATCTTTCTTTAACCATCTCTCACCTTCTTTTGGTTTGTCGTCAATGGAACGAAGGACATCGTTAGCTTTGCGAACTTGTTCTATAGCGCTCTTAAACATCTCTTTTCTCTGTTGTTTCAGTGTGTCGTCTCTTCTTCTTGTTTCACCAACGTTTGCATTTGTTATGTCAAACATTTCTCTTCTTACTTCATGAGGTACTGAACGTCTATGATATAAGTCAATAGCAACGTCATTTAAAGGAAATGCTCTTGCATGGACTTCGTCCTCGCCGCGTTGCGGCTTTATGAACTCATGAATTCTATCATAACTTATTGCACCATTATAGTCATTGAGGATGTCAGCGAGTGCTTTTTTGTTTGTTGCGTAATGCTTTGCAACATCTATATTAGCTTCTGTAAGAAGTTGTTTTATTTCCGAGTGTTCTAACTTAGACAACTTCCGATACATCTTTAGTAGGAAATAAAAAATATTTTTTGAAAAAATTAGATTAGATTTTTTTAAGTTATTTTTCAAAATAATTTAATATTTTTATTTTAATGAAACACATGCAAGATTGCAAGTTCTTTTCATACAATGCTCTCGCTACTGCCATCAAGAATGAGTTCAATAATGCTTCAAATGTTAATGTTATCTTTAACAAGAAGTTTGTGAAAGAATCTAAGTTTGGTCAGTATGTCAGACCATTAGCTATCGTCATTGACCGCAAACGTTATACTTCACAAGAGTTAGCAGTAGTTTTGAAACAAAAGAGTTTCTTCGTGAATGTCAAAGATACTCATTATACTGTCATAAAGAACTCTAACGTTGACTTCTTCAGTATTGCTTTAAATCTTTCCGAACAGAAAGAATATAAGAAAGGTGAAACAAATGTGAAATATTATCCTTCATCTCTGAAGACAATAACGAACAAAGATGTTATACAGAAATTCTTACCAAAGGTTGAAGAAGCTTCTATTGACATTGACGAAGGAAGTGAAATGGTTGAAGAAATAGACCCTGAAGCTATTTAAGCAAAAATATATTTTTGGTTAGTCTTCATATGGATATTTTACAACAATTCCCCAATGTATAAACTTTTCATACGCTTTTTCATAAGCTTTATATACCTTCAGAAATTTTGCATAATCTTTAGAAGCATTTAGATATTGTTTAAATGCTTTGTATGTCTTCAGAAATTTTGCATAATCTTTTACATGTTGTTCGTTCTCTTCTTCTGTCATGAGTTCCGAATATTCTAAATTCATGTTCTTTCATATGAGATAAAATTTTATAAAAAAAATAAAATTAGCTTAGATTTTTTTATTCTTCCTCGAGTATATAAGAATTTCCGAAAAAGTGACACCCCAAAAAGTGACACTTTCAATAGGGGGTAACACTTAAAAAGTGACAATTTAAAATTCACAATAAATAAAAATAATAAATTTTTTAGTCTATTAAATTATTCTTTTCTTTGAAATCCTCTAAAAATTCTTCGAAATGTTCTAAAATATAATCTGGAGAATTATAACAAAATTCATTAATTTCTAACATATACGTATCTAACAATTCATTTGGAATTTCAAACGATCTTAAATATGTAATTGAATTTTGTATCTTCTCATTTATTTGAGAAAGTTTTTCTTCAGCATTTTCCAATAAAAATCTTAATGGATTCAAATTGGCTTCTTGATTCTGAACAAAATTTAATACTTGGTATAAACGTGATTGAACTTCTCTTTTCAATTTTGTTTTATAATCTGTCAATCGAGGCTCGCGAATTCTAATTGAAGGAATAAAACCTGTTTGAAGTAAATCCGTTTTTAATACGATAAAAGTAATTGGGTGCAACTTCTTTCTAAAAGATTTTTGACAAAAACATCAATTCTTTGATTTTTTAACGCAGCCAAATCGTGATATTTTTATCTTTTTAAATAAAGATTCAGAAACGTTATTCACAACGGTTAATTCATTTGGTCTGGCAGCGGCTATCCACTGTTGTTTATGAATGTCCCACTGACGTGTAAAGTATTGATTAAATTCCAATTGATCTTGAATTTTATCAATAATGTGCTCTTTATACATTTTTGCAGCATCTTCTTCTGTGCAATCACGATAATAACATAAAATGTTCATAAATTTTTCGACTTCTGATCTAATCTCTCCATCATTTATCTTTGAGAGATTCTTTTTAAGTGCGCGTATTACATGTAGCGCGCACCAAAAGATATTGCACTCCGGAAATGAATTCCTAATCCCGTTGAAAATGTTTAGTGCACAGTCAGACATGATAAATTCAGGTTCTGTGTGAGTTGTTTCAAAATATTTACTTAAGCAAAAAGAAATATTTTCACTATTATCTGGATATATTATAAAATAACACAAAGGGATAGAATGAGTATTAGCAAATTTGGTAGCTAATACATAAAAAGGAAATGAGTATATAAGAATTTCCGAAAAAGTGACACCCCAAAAAGTGACACTTTCAATAGGGGGTAACACTTAAAAAGTGACAATTTAAAATTCACAATAAATAAAAATAATAAATTTTTTAGTCTATTAAATTATTCTTTTCTTTGAAATCCTCTAAAAATTCTTCGAAATGTTCTAAAATATAATCTGGAGAATTATAACAAAATTCATTAATTTCTAACATATACGTATCTAACAATTCATTTGGAATTTCAAACGATCTTAAATATGTAATTGAATTTTGTATCTTCTCATTTATTTGAGAAAGTTTTTCTTCAGCATTTTCCAATAAAAATCTTAATGGATTCAAATTGGCTTCTTGATTCTGAACAAAATTTAATACTTGGTATAAACGTGATTGAACTTCTCTTTTCAATTTTGTTTTATAATCTGTCAATCGAGGCTCGCGAATTCTAATTGAAGGAATAAAACCTGTTTGAAGTAAATCGTTTTTAATACGATAAAAGTAATTGGGTGCAACTTCTTCTAAAAGATTTTTGACAAAAACATTGTTGTAAACAGAAATTCATCAAAAGTGACACCTCAGAAAAGCTAAAATATTGAATTTTTGGAACTGTTGATAGAGCACGTTTTTAAATATTAATTAAAGTAAATGTATATTTTGTAAAGATTCTTTTTAATAAAAAAATAAAATTTTGAAGAAGAACACAAAATCTTCTGAAAAATAATATCACATAAACTCATATTATTTTCTAATATATAACTATTTTATATAAAAATCAAATTCAATGATCTTAAAAGCGAAGGATAAACCTCAAAATTTACGAATATAATGAGTGGGAATATAATGCTTATCTATCATAAAACCATATGAAATATCAATTTTTGCTTTACGCCTAATTTTTGACGACAATTAGCAAAAAATGTTAAATGTTAACACTCAGTCCATTTGAATATGAAAAATAAAATTGACTTTGATTAAATGTTTTTATTTATCATGCAATTCTTCTTGCGACCAAAGATTTGAATAAAAGTTCAAAAAATAAGATAGCTTAAAAAATGAGGATGTTTTATTGTCGTCTGGAAAAAGTGACAAAATTATTATTGTCGTCTAAAAAGGTGACAAATTATTATTGTCGTCTGGAAAAGTGACAAAATTATCATTGTCGTCTAAAAAATAGATTTTTCAAGCATGTTTCGGTACCTAAATAAAGGAAGAACATCAATTCCATCTATGTATATAGTATGCAAACACGCATGATATATGGAGTAGCTCTTTATCTGGCTAAAAATCCTATTATTTGAAAATTCGCATTGTCGTCTAAAACCGCCAGACGACAATAATAATACCCCTTAAAAAATAATATACGGTAGTGTTTACTAATAGATGAATAGTATATAAATTCTATTAAAATGGATTTGATCCAAAAAAATATAAAACCAAAAATAATTGTTATAATTTAAATGAAGAAGTAATTTAAAACGATTTGATTTATGATCAAATTTTATATATTTTTTTGGATCAAATCCATTTTAATAGAATTTATATACTATTCATCTATTAGTAAACACTACCGTATATTATTTTTTAAGCTATCTTATTTTTTGAACTTTTATTCAAATCTTTGGTCGCAAGAAGAATTGCATGATAAATAAAAACATTTAATCAAAGTCAATTTTATTTTTCATATTCAAATGGACTGAGTGTTAACATTTAACATTTTTTGCTAATTGTCGTCAAAAATTAGGCGTAAAGCAAAAATTAATATTTCATATGGTTTTATGATAGATAAGCATTATATTCCCACTCATTATATTCGTAAATTTTGAGGTTTATCCTTCGCTTTTAAGATCATTGAATTTGATTTTTATATAAAATAGTTATATATTAGAAAATAATATGAGTTTATGTGATATTATTTTTCAGAAGATTTCATTCTATATGCCTATGAAAAGTACTCTCAAAACTAACTTTTTCCTAATTATAATTAAATCTACCCAGATTTTCCTTACTTTTACCACTCCCCATGTAATTTCTGGGGAAAACGATAATTCATTTTTTTTATGGATGAATAGATCGTTTTCCTAGAAAGGACCTCATATCTCTGGCTAAAAAGAGTGTCAGATCCTAAATAGGTTATTGATCTAGTGTACAAATCCAATAAAAAGCCTATTTTTTTGGCTTTTTTGGTGCTCATTTTTTCGAAGATCTACATGAATATGGGGAAACCATCGGATTTTTTTGGTTAACCCACATCTTCATGTAGTCTGGACTATCTTTCCTCGAAGGACCTCTTTACGGGTGTAAAAACTCATAAAGTTCTCAAAAGATTCATTCTCGATCTCCATGCTGAAAGAATTTACAATAAAAAAGAGATCTACGCATCAAACTACAGCCATAAATGAACTGAACCCCTAAAGCTCAGCTCTTAGTTTATCAAAAACGTCGAAATCCTTCTCATTGCAATCAAATTTTCTCAATAACTCATAAGAAAAATCGAATTTTGATTAAGCCGATGTTATAGGTATCACAAATACTACAAACTTGAGCAATATCGAAATTGCCAGCAAAAGTTTGAAATTGCATTGCTCATATTTGTTTTGTAAACTAAAAATCTGCTTATATTATTCATTAATTTTTTATATATTATTCATATACTTTAATAAAAACAATACTATTTCACCTTAAAAATGAATTTCATAAGTCAATATTATTTTTTTGAAAATGTATCAATTTTCGATTAAAACAACATGAGAATAAAATTTACGCAAAATTATTTTAAAAAATGGTTTTAAAAATTTACAATTGATGAAGAATAAGATTGCAAGAAGTTTGGAAGTTTAATTTTAAGAAAAAAAATTGGGATATTATTCATGGATCTAAGTAATCTGATATTTGAGTATCGGCACTATGCATAAAACATATATTTATAGTTTTTTTGGAGTTTTATGATTTTAAATATATCAAATTTGGGCAATCCAATAGATTTTTAAAAAATAGGTAAATAAAAATAGATTACATATGCAGCAGATTTAGAACATGAAACAAATCTTATAGTGACCCAAAAAAAAATTCATGATCCAAAAAAGAAAAAAATTGGCTAAATGGGAATCAAACCTTGGCATAATGAATCATTATGTCGGATGTTTCAACTACACCGGCAGTTCGAAAAATACCCTTGGCGGTTCTATTTAATAGCTACTCCCAACGATAGGCGGTGTCTCCAGCTTTAGAGGGGTGGTAAAAGTAAGGAAAATCTGGGTAGAATATTGTATTATGCTTAGTATTATTTCATTTTTCTCATTTAATTTAGAATTTACAAATGTCAAAAAATTGAGAGCTGTCACTTTTGATGAATTTCTGTTTATTACAACATCAATTCTTTGATTTTTAACGCAGCCAAAATCGTGATATTTTATCTTTTTAAATAAAGATTCAGAAACGTTATTCACAACGGTTAATTCATTTGGTCTGGCAGCGGCTATCCACATCATAGCCAACAATTCCTTATACAAAATTCAAAAACTTGGGTGCAATCAGAACTGATTGCACCCAAGTTTTTGAACTTTCTTGAGGGAATTAAAGGGTGAGAGATTTATAGTCTATCTATATATCTCCCACCCTCTAATTCCCTCCCTGACAGCGGGAAATTTTGTCTGAATGTTAAACTATTCAGACAAAGTTTCCCACTGTTTGCGAAGGAATTGTTGGCTATGATGTACTGATTCATGATCAGTACATCATAGCCAACAATTCCTTATATAAAGTTCAAAAACTTGGGTGCAATCAGAACTGATTGCACCCAAGTTTTTGAACTTTCTTGAGGGAATGGAAGAGTAAGAGGTATACATTATGAATATATACCTCTTACCCTTCCATTCCCTCTCTGACAGCGGGAAACTTTGTCTGAATGTTAAACTATTCAGACAAAGTTTCCCGCTGTCAGCGAAAGAATTGTTCCATCTGGTGCATAGAGTGTGAATCTATGCACCAAATGGAGCAAGTCCTCGCGAAATTGCCAAAACTTGCGTCGCATTTCAAAGATTGCGACCCAAATTTTGGCGATTTCTAGTAGAGATGGAGTATTTTGAGTCACTGACCTATATGCAGTGGCTCAAAGGGCTCCATCTCTACTTTGAAGCAAGGAAACTTTCCTCGAAATTTTGATAATTTGAAGAAAGTTTTCAAGCAATTAACAAAGGATTACTCACTATGAGGTAAAAATTCTAGATTTTCACCTCATAGCGAGAGCTTTCCTTTCATTGCTTGAAAACTTTCCCCAGCTTCAAAATTGGGGAAAGGGCTGTAAAGTCGACTCCGATACCAGCAGGTACCAGAGTATTTAAAAGAGAAGCCCTCGTACGAGTTTCTATGAAGACCTTCTCATTCAAGAAGATCTTAATAGAAAATCGTACGAGGGCATTGGAAACTCGCGTCTGGTACATGTTGGTACCAGAGTGTTTGAGATTTGAAGACTCTGGTACTAACATGTACCAGAATTTATGATGAATTTAAGATGGACCATTATAAAATGGTAGCGGTTTGTTTCAAAAAATTTTAGATGAGATTTGCATAGATATAGATTATGATTTATACATATGAAAAATAATATATAAAAATATAATTTTGAGATAATTATGTAAATATATTTAAATTTTGAATTTGAGGTATAATTTTATAGTAAAATATATTATAAAGAGTATTTATATAAATATTGTAAAATAATATAAGTAATAAAAATTGAGACCCCCTCCCTGTTTTTGATGTTTTGTCACTTTTTCGGTAATTCTTATTGTTTCAGTTCCGAATATTCTAAATTCATGTTCTTTCATATGAGATAAAATTTTATAAAAAAAATAAAATTAGCTTAGATTTTTTTATTCTTCCTCTTTGAAGTTATCGAAATATTCTGTTATTTTTTCCTTCAGTAATGTTAAGTCTTCTTTGAATGTAAGTATTGTGCAACCTTTGATGTCATAGTGTGTTTGAGGAAGAGTATTTTTGACAATTTCCTTTATTTGCTCATTCGGTGTCATTGAAATCGGTAAGTTTTCACGATAGAACCAGTTTCTGTCAGATTTATATATTTTAGCTAAGTCATAAAAGCTCTTGTTGTTTCTTCTGACTAAATGTAACATAACCATATCTTTATCTTCTTCTTTCTCCAACTCTTCAGTGTAAATCATATACTTATAACTCTTTTCCTTTCCTTTTGGTACTGAACGCGGTATTCTTTTCTGTATGCTTTTGTCTTTGGATTCAATGACTTCATCTTTTGCATGAAGTTTCTTTTCCATCTCTCCACGTTCTGCTTTATATAGTTCATCTAACATCATGAAAATATAACAAGCATAACGAGGTGAAGCCCACATTGCTACAGCGTTTACTAAAAGTCTATGAACATAATAACCTTTCAAACCAGGAGCCAAATTCTTGCGATTTTCGTACGGAATCTCTTCCCCCGGTTTTCCGAGGGAAGCAATCATATGAGGAAATTCTTCTAAAAGTTCTTTTGTCTGTTGGTTTTCAAACCAATGATATGCTTGCTTTGTAGAACGAAGAGCATTCATTATACTTTGCATTTGGTACATGTCATCTTTGACTGAACGAATGAGACGTAACTGTTTGTTATACTGTATGTACTCGTATTCTTCATTTATGACTTCATGAACGATAGCAGTTGTTGTGTTCTCTGATGTTGACATTACTGTCTTTACATACAAGATAAAAAAAAATAAATAAAAATAAAATTAGCGTTATTTTTTCTGAGATAAACACTATTTCTTCACAACATTAAATTTTATCCTGTATGAAATGACTTTAAAAAGATTATTGACTGACTTCGAATACTATCTCATTGACGCACTGACAGACCCTCAAAACTGTGTTGAAAGTTCTTTAAGCTTTAAGATTGAAAGAATATGACCGTTATCATAACGAAGTGAATCAAACACTAATAAAATTTGTAGATAAAAAATTGGTTAACAATGAATATTTTAAATGTGAAGACCCAAACACTGCTGGAGATGATGAAGAATACAGACAAGTTATTGAAAAAAATAACACAAGATTAGATGCAATAGAAAAGAAGTTTAATGAATGTCTTACAAACACGTATGAATATCTTATGCGGTGGGAAGCCAGATGGAAATAAATTTACGTCAAATATGCAATTTATAAAATCTTAAGTCGACAGGCTACGTAGCACAGTGGTCTAAGGTGGTGTTATGGAGGGGTCAGGGTCTGTGGTTCGAACCGCGACAGCGCCGTATTTTCTTATTTTCTTTGTTTGTCTTGTTTGTCGTGAATAAAAAGTGCTCTATCTTCCACGGGAATAAATAAAAAATTTACTTTATTTCTTCTTTATTTCTTTGTTCCCGTGGAAGAAGGGTTTTGCCGTTTTTTCTCAGCCGAAATCAATGATTTTTTCATTTTTGGAATCCTTAGCGAATGAGGAATCTTTTCTCTCGTGGAAGCTTTGACCAAAAATATAATTGAGGTGAAGAGGTGAGATCTCACCTGTTTTTTCACCTGTTTTTTCACCTCTTTTTTCACAAGCGTTTTACATGAATTGTACGATGTATATTTGAAATACTAAACAATTTCGTAGCTTCTATTTCTTCTTTTAGTACATCGAATGTTTTAATCATGCCGAAAGTCTCTTTATATTTCTTCTTGACGTCAGACAGAAGGAAATCTTCTGCTGTTGGATAGTTTTTATTAAGAAATGTCAACATATCCATTTTATCTTCTGCTGGGTTTGCTGCTTCTTTCTTTAAGTCTGCATAGTCGTTTCTCATACGTTCTATCTCTTTGACTGAGTAGTTATATTTTCTTATTGCTGCTTTACATTTTGAACATTGCGGCATCGTTTTTGCGTTATACATTGAAATAAAACCAGCTAGAACAACTAAGGCGTCAATGGTTTTCTTTAACTCAAAAGCTGCTGGTTTTATCTGTTCATTCCATACTTTACCTCTTCTATCTTTATCTCTTATCTGCCATACACATTTTGCAACTAATGAAACAAAGTTATCGTATGTCTTAAATTCTTCGGATTTGTAAAGGTCAGAAATATTTTTATAAACCATGTCGCAATCTTTGTCCATAACTTTATGGTTGCAATGAAAACCAAGGAATTCATAATTTACTTTACGTATGAATTTCTTAATTTCTACTGAGTCAGTTGCTTTGACTTCAATTTCGTCGAATTCAGGAATAGTTAGTTTTTGCTGCTGAATTTCAGGTAGTTTAGGCAAATGGTCGATGAGGTCCTCCATTTCATAAAGATACTGTTCATTTGTTTCATCTTTCGCACTACAGTCTAAATTACTTGTTAAAAGTTCTTGCTTTATCTTCTGGATTTCTGTTTCAAAAGTATATGAAGAAGGAATAAAGCTTTTCATCTCTACCAACATTGACGTAGGATTCATGACTAACGAGTTTGGTGCTGTAGTTGTTTGAATTGTTGTTGTGCCGATTGTTGAAATCATATCTTTTATACAAAATAAAAAAATAAATAAAAATAAAACTAACTTTATTTTTTCTATCTTAAGGAAATTCATGAAAATTCACGGGGGTGAAAAAACAGGTGAAAAAACAGGTGAGATCTCACCTCTTCACCTAAACATTATTTTTGGTGAAAAATGACCAAATTTCATGAATTTTCACAAAAGACAAAAAATAAACGCTTTACATGTATTTTTCAGCAACTTCGTCAAATAATTTTATAGCTTTATCTATCTCATCTACTTCAAACGTTTCTTTACCTTTCATGGGAGCACCATACATTTTCTCAAACTTTTCAAGTAGTTCTGTTTCTGCAGCTCTCATATCATTAACGAACACAACCTTGACTCTATTGACTGTACTGTCATATCTTTGAGTTATATTATATGTTCTTCCTATCTTATATCTCTTTGTATTGAAGTCCTTCGGTTTCTGAACGATGTAAAGTAAGCCTTCACTGCAACGTTCCGTATCGAATGAACCATAAATTATGAAGTTATATCCAACAACTGGGTCAATCCATAGAAGAATTATTGGTATAAGACTTTTGTCAATGAGATATGCTGTAGTTCCATAGAATCTTACTGATATCATAAGCTCAGGATTTCTTGTCAAAATTTTCTGAGTAGAAGCAATTCTAACCCAGTCCTTTGTTTTCTTTCCAGATGGTGTTATAATGTCTGACAAAGAATATTTGTTGTATTTCTTACAGTATCTTACGTTGAAATCACCAATTCTAACCACTTTGGTGTCATTGTCAATCTTTCTAACTGTTTCAAACTCAATGTTTGACATTTCTGTTCTTACATACAAAATAAAAAAAATAAATAAAAATAAAACTAACTTTATTTTTTCTGTCTTAAGGAAATTCATGAAAATTCATGAGGGTGAAAAAACAGGTGAGAAAACGGGTGAGATCTCACCTCTTCACCTAAAAATTATTTTTGGTGTAAATTTATGAAAACATTAATAATACATGACTGTTCTCATTCATGTCTGATTTACATCTAATGAAAAAGTTTAGAAGAATTTTCTTATTCTTTCTGGCATATTTTTGTCTTTCCAGTACTCACGCTCTAATGGTCCCAGATGTGTTGGCTTCGACTCTCTCAAGTTCTTAGATGGTATAACATCTTCAACGCCTCCTTCATATCTTACTTTATAAGTGTCATCGTTTATGTTGTAGCCAAGTATTTCAATAACCACTCCTCGCTTTGCTTCGTCAATGGTTTCAGCAAGTTTGCCATTACTACTTTCGACTAATTTATGACGAGGATAAAACGCAATGGAGTCGTCGGCAGCTTTTATAAGATATCCATTACCTTGCGTAGAGTCTACGATATAATAGTTTCTACTTAACCTTAAAAGTTTCTTTGTCAACGGTTTGTCGTCAAGAACTACACGAACTTTTGTTCCAGGAATGAGAGTAAATTGTGTTGAATTTCTGATATTTTGTGTTTGACTTCGTTTCTTTTGTATATACTTTTCTTCTTCTTGTTGTGTCATTGAATTTGGTGTATGTCCTGTTGTAGAATGTGTTGAGGAATTATATACTTCGAGAAAATGTTTCATTGTTTCTTCGGTAAAGTCTCGCTCTTGGTTTAAATCTCTGAGAGTCCTTATGAAGCGGTTTATGATGCCGAGTATGTTATGGTTATGGTCTTCAGTAGTGTAGTGAGTTATGTTATGCTTAATGAGAAAATCTGTGATTTCATTACTGAGGTATGCACTGTCTTGGTCTGATGTTAAAGTACTTGGGCTATGTTCTGCTACAAACTTTTGTAAAACTCTTAAAACTTCACGAGTTCCTTTATTTTTCATTGGATATGCATATGCTTTGCGAGTGTTAACATTAATGAAGATGAGGAATGGTTTATGGCCACATTTTCTGCTTTGAATGAGAGTGTCAAATTGGTATGCGTCAGGAGTGTTGGAGTAAATTGGTAAAAAGTAGTCGTAAGGGTTTATTTTTGTTTGATGTACAACATTTTTGTCAAAGAACCTTTTCACTTCAGCTCTGTTAGTAAATCCCCAACTCTTTGCAGCTTCATTGAACTTCTTAAATGACCTCCATGGATGTTGTTCGAATACTTCTTTCAAGCTCATTTATGTAAAGTTAAAGATTTTATTCAAGACGGTAAGCCTAGACCCTTTGGGTCAAGGCTCAAGCGCGTTCATTGAACGCGGTACCATGCGAATACAGTCACAAATGGTGGCATGTAATCTTCACCCGAGCCTGTTGGATTTGTTGTGAAAGTGTGTGAATGATTTCCTCCTGGTTCAGTTGGTCGAAAAATCTTTTTTGCTGCATTGTTATAAGATGGAGATAAAACATCATTGCCAGCTTTATATTCTGAGTTGTATAATGGGTGGTCTCTTAATGAGTGGCTATGGTCGCCAGAAAAGTTTGTCGTTCCTGTATGAGTGTGCGCAGGTAAGTTTGCTTCAGTAATTTTCTTCGAACCTCCTGTTTGCTTTGAAGAGTTAGCACAGTATAAGAATTTGTCTACAATCTGCTGCCATGTACCAAAACCTAAAACACTTGCTGGATTTGTTGAATTCATTGACGTATAAATAGAGCCTATAGGATATAATGTTTGAAGTATTTCAGTCTTTAATGTTTGAAGCTCTGTTTTGTCTGCTTTCTTATCATATAAATCTTGAGCAGTGAATTTAACATTATTTTCATCATCCATGACATAAACATTTTTACAGCTAATTTCTTTCTTCGTTGTTATGTTTTCATTCGATGTTAAACCTTGTGGAAAGTTAGGAGGTTTATAATATAATGCATCCCCACCAGTTCCGCCAACCGTTCCTTCAATACTTTCTATAGCAACAGTTGAGAAGGAGTTATGTGTATGTTCTTTATCTGCTTTCTTATCTAACATTGCTGGTAGTTCATGTGTTTCAAAGTTTCTGACATGACCTTCGATATTCATACATTTGTTATTTAAGGAGTTTAGAGTATCTTTTACGCTTGTACTTGGATTCTCTAAAGGTGCACTTGAACCAAGGGTATAGTTCAATATTATGTCGTCTGCTCTAACAGTAGTGAAGGATTCATGTGTATGGTTCTTGTCAGCTTTACTATTTAATGTAGCTTGAAGTTCATTTATATCGGAGATATTGTGTTTATGAGATTTCAAAACTTTGTTCATTGCGTCAAGTTCATCTTTGTCAGCTTTACTTTTAATAGCATCTTCAAAAGTTATTTTTGCTTAACTCTCAATAAATCTTGGTTCAACTAATACACCGTTAACAAAGAAGTATGAAGCATAAATTTCATCGTTATAACCAAATGCTTCTGGTGCTTTACCTGTGTCATACTGTACAGTACAGCGTATGTCATAACCTTTAGCACGAATGTATTTATATCTTCTTTCATTAACATCTTTCGTCTTCACTTCTTCATCCTGTGTTAAATATCCATGGTAGTCCGTTATAATCTGTTCGTCTGAACTTATATAATGAACATGGTTTTTATCTGCTTTTTCGGCTAATTTCTCTTCTATCTCATTGATTTCAAGTTCATACCTACCACCACCTCCCGAAGAAGTATTTTTCTTCAGCTCTTGAAGAACGTCCACTTCGCCATCTTTGGTGTCAATAATGAGACTTTGAGTTAAAACCTTTCCTGTCTTAATGGATGTTTGTAAAACTTCTTCTTCACCGTGTTCGGGGTCATGGTCGTCATCATATCTTGTGAAATCAGAGATGTTGTCATACATTAAGCATATCTTTCTCAAAAGTTCTGCTATTTGAAACTGGAACGAAAGATATACAGAACTTTCATCATCTCCTAAAGTCAAGTCTGCTTTCTTAAGTATTTCTTGAATGTATGCAATGAGAACAGAGTACCTTGGAAAATATTCGAACAATATTTCATTAGCTGTTGGCTTTGGTGGTTCTTCTGGAGTTTCTGTTGTTTCAGTTCCTTCTGTAGGTTCTGTTGGAGTTTCTGCATCTCTTGACTTCAATGCTCTTGCTCTCAAAGACCTAAATGTTAGAGCACCCGGTTTTACAAAGGACTTTATAAATGCTTTAATAGTTCCTGGTAAGTTATTGTTAGCATTAAGTAAGTTCCTTATGCTTCCATCATGTACGTCCATAGCACTATGTAAAAAATCTATACTTTTCTTGTAGTCAGCAATAGACTGACTGTGATTTTTTAAAGATTTGTCAATACCTTTAAGCCAATCTTCATGCATGTCTGATACTGAGCCAAGAATATCATTTGCTTCCTTTAGTGTATTTTGTGCTTCTCGTAAAGTATCCAATCCCGTACGTGCATTGTTTGCTATACGTCTTACAGTATCTATTTGACTCCTTGTTTCTTGCATCCAACCAGATAAAGTTTTAATAGTATCCGAACCATTTGAAATGAAGTTCAAAGCATTTTTAACGTCATCTAAAGCTTCTTCACCAAGTACTGCCCATATCTTTCCGATTTGGTATTGAAGAACTCCATATGAAGCAGCTGTTAAACCAGTATTTATAAGGTTCCATATCCATGATTTAGCAGTTTTTTCATCCTTTCCATCTTCACCATCCAAACCGTTTTCGCCTTGAGGTCCTTGTATTCCTTGTGGTCCTTGAGGTCCGGTGTCACCCTTCTCTCCTTTCAGTTCATCTTTATGTTCGTTATAATATTCTAATGTCATAAGGTGTACATTATTACTGTTACCAGCAACGCCGAGAATTTGTTTCTCATTCATGACTAAATTCTATAGGCATTTAATGTTGTCGTCAAATCGAAAGCTCTTTAACAATTCAATGAGAACATTTAATACTTTCACTAATGAGGCATCTACTGTAGAATTTATATATTGCACCGTTCCATCATTTATGATGGGAACCTTGCTTGTTGTAATGAATGGGTCATAAGTGTTAAAAGTATCGAAATCAATGACTTTTTTAGTTTTTCCATCGTCAATGACTAAATCATTGCCTTCAATGGTTAAAGTTGAGTTTTCGTTTACTAGTTCATGTGCTCTTCTTGCTTCATTTGTTTCATACGCATATGCAGCAATAGTCATATTTTAATGAGAATAAAATGTTGTTCTATTTGCAAAGTACAGACCCAAACGAATACGGGACAGTAAAGCTACAAACAAACTTAGGTCTTCAGAATGAAGCGCTTGCTTTCAGAGTTGTTGACTTCAATACTATCGCAACTTTTGTCATAACAGATGAAACAGATTTCATAGAGATTGAAATAGATGACAAAAAGTGTTATAACATTTCCTAACAGAGCTGGGTATAGAATAGATAAAATTGCTGGAGTCATAAATACTCTCATAAATGAAGAAACTATTGACAACATAGATGTCGAACTCTCTTCTGAGGGAACATTGAAGTTCAGCAGCGAGAAAGAGTTTAAGATAACACAAGAATGAGTCATAGAGTACAACTTCTTTTGGGTGCATACCATATGACATTTCCTTTGAAAAGTGTTGACAAAACGATTGAGATGAAATCTGTTCCATATGTATGTTATGGCAATTGTTTGTACATTGAGTCAAAAATAGCTAATGTCACAGGTATTTCAGGAGTTAATAGTAAAGGTTCAGTAGAATATAAGTCTTTCTGTTATGAAGTAAATTCAATGTTCATTCCAAACGTTCCTGTCATAGCAACTCATTTAGGTAAATGGGTTCGCATTAGTCCTCATAATTTGAAAGACATGCAATTCAGACTTGTTGACTTTCAAGGAGAGCCTGTAGAACTGAAGGCACCAGTGCGAATGACTGTTGAAGTTGACTTTTTAGAAAATATTAAATGCAACAGCTTACAAGAGAACTCAGAGCTAAAAATATAAAGTATGAATGTTATGTATTAGGTCATGAACTTTGGTTGTTGCTGTTTGATGAAACAAATGAGTTAGTTATGTCAGTCAAGAGAACAGAAAAATATTGTGTTAGTGAAAACTGCGCCAAGTCAATAAGATTAGGTTTGCATTATGAAGATGAGTTCGATACTGTTGAAGAAGTTTTGGATAGATATTACAAATTGCTAACTTGAAATTTTTTGACTGACGGCGCAAAGCGCCAAGACCGAAGGTCCTGACTGCTTTAATTTACTAAAACATATTTCAAGCAAAGTTTATATTCTGTTGAAAGTTTTGTATACTCGTTCGAATATCTATACTTAAACTCAACTCCTGTAGTTCCTGGTGTTTCAATGATGCGGATGTTACCTATTTTCATGAATAGTGGAGTTTGACCACAGCATTCGATTTCAGGGTCGAGATAGTCAATGACACATTGTTTCCCTGTTATTCGTGATATAACATTTTCAAGGTTCTCCTTTGTTAGAATTATTTGGTTCTTACTTATAAGATTTGTCAAAAGCTTCTTATCGTCTTTGAGTAAAATTGTTTGGTATAACTGAAGAAGGTAATGGTCTACTTTATCTGAAGGATTTGTTTGAACATTTGTGTAAGGGTTGTCGTTGGCTTCTCTTGAAAGAATTTGGTCCAGTGGTGGATACTCTAACTTAACATCTGATGTAGCGTTAGCGTTTGAAGCTGTGTTTAAATTCACCGACTTAAGATCTGGTTATTTTTCTTTCAAACACTCTGAACTATAGTTCTTTATGACAATATTGTTTGTCGTTCGTGAGTCAACATTTGATGTTGGTTCAATTGGAACATTAACGGCACCAGCTAAGATGGATTTGCTTCTCATTTCATATAGAAAAAAACCTTTTATATGTATGAAATGAACAATATACTCGACAAGGGTTTGAATGTAAAGCTAACGAATGAAAATATTGTTGAATTCACTGAGACAGGAGCTGTGTATAAAGATGTAGAACTACTGAACAAAAGAGCAAAGGGAAGAAGCAGGAACATGAACAAAGGGTGGAAGCCTATAAAAATTTATGTCAATGATGGCTCAGGAGGTTCAAACATAAAGTATGCAGAAAGTTATAGAGTTTATGCTCTCAAAGGTGAAAAGCCTTCATTTAAGAACAGCTATTCTAACGCATATCCTCAAAAGCTAACGGATGGGGAAGTGGATGATATGAATGACAGCAAAAATATTAACAGAAATGGCGACAGAGATGCATGGAATTTGTTTACCATCAGTCAATTGAAGGTTAAACTTTAAAACAATGTTGGTCGTTCCCATGGAATATTTTTGACTTTAATGGTATTAGTCATGATATGAATCTCAAGGTATGAACGAGGAGAGATGAGAGACTTATATGCTTCCCAAATTTCTTCAAAAGGTAATGTTATACCTGACTGTTTCCAAATGAGTTCAATATCATAGCGTGAGAAACCTTGAAAGATAACGAAGTCAGTTATGAGACGTTTTATGTTTAAAGCAAGAAAACGCCATGTTTGCATAAGTATTGCTACAGTTAAGTGGTAATGTCTGACTTTAGTTATGATGTTAGCTAATGGTGAGTCAGGCTTTGAAACTAAACCTTTTCCGGCGAAGTCGTCGCAAACGAGCAGAGTGTTTGAAGGATACTTTTTGAAGGGGTATTTTGAAAGTTTTGACAGAATGTAGTTTGTAAGTCGTTTCATATCGTAAACTCCTGAGTACTGACGTAAGTGGTGTTTGTCAATAATTCTTTCCATCTCCTCAGAAGTCTTTTGCATTCCTGACTGTATAAATTCAACGATGGCATAATATTTCCTCTTACGTCGAATGTAACGTTGAAGAAATTCAATGAGTTCACTGTCTGGAACTTTAACGACAGAGGCTTGAACTTTTGACATAAATGTTTTCGCTGTTGAGTCCATAGAGTCTGAAGTTGATGATATAATGATTTGGTCATAATATGAGTCATTTCCTAAACGTTCTGTTATAAGAATATGACGAATGAGATTAAATGTCTTTCCTGACCCCATCTTTCCACAATAGAAATACACACCATTTGAACAGAATTCATAATCTTTGCTGAAAGGAAGAATAAGAGAAGAGTTAAGTTTGTCTGTAGTTTCATTCATGTCTTCATCTACATCATGTATTAAATGCTTCATTTTATCTCCATTAAAAATGCAAGTCAGAAATATTCAGAACATAGCACCGAGTCTAACTGACAAGAGTATAAAGATATACTATGAACATGTTATGATGAAACCAACCAAAATTCAAGAAAGTCAGTATACTTATGAATATCCAAGACACTGGGTAGAGTATGTAGGAGGTGAGAAAGCTATTGAAATAAGACAGGTTCGAAGTATTCCAGCAGGAAGAACAATATTATTGAAGAACTTTAATTTTTTGAGGTATAATGATGAAACAAAGAAGCAAGATAGTTTCCCTGTTGCTGTGTATGTGAACCTAGACACAGGAGATGACATGAAAGTTTTTAATACAAAGCTTCAAACGGTAGTGAGAGAACAACTGACTGCGGAAGGACATCCATTACCTTCAGAAGTTACCATAGCATATAATTTTGAAACAAACTCAATAGATTTTAAAGTCATCTCTGCAAAGAAGTCAGGATTTACATTTAATGAAGCAGATGTATATTCGAATGAAAACTTCAAAGCTATTGCATGGTTAGATAATGACGATTGCTTTAAGAAAATATTTAAATTCAGTGACTCAAAGATGTCAATAGATGACCTTCGTGGAATGTTACCATCGACGTTTACAGTAGAAGGTTCAGCAGGATTGCTTACAAGATTGTCAATTGGTGGTATTTGGTCTCGTGAGAACATTGTTATAAAATCCAGTATAAGTGAATTTGCTGAAGAATCTATATTATGTCTTTCAAACTATATGTATTCGCCACCGAAGCATTATAGTATAACAAACTTTGTCAGTAAGTTTAATATAAGACTTGTTGAACCTTCTTCAATGAAAGATGTTGTGCTACCCAAAGATGGAAAGGATGGACTCATTATTGAAATGATTTTAATTGCATATTAAATGAGCTTGTTCTTGAAGGTCATTCATGATGAAATAACTGTTGTAGAAGATGTTAGCAATTGTTCAGACATTTTGAAGCGTATAGATGATATAAGAAAGAAGTTTATGAATGAGAACGTTTATGTTTCATTGACTTTCTCCAGTAACGAGAACTTTTATGAGATAATATTGAAGAGAGATGATTTTAATATTGTGTAAATGGTAGCTTGGGCAGCTTTAGGCGCAATGGGAACAAAAGCATTAGCATTTGGAGCAAAAGCACTTGGAGCTTATGACGCAGTAAATAAAATGAGTGGAGGAAGGGTTTCGAAGACATTAGATGCAAATAAAGGAAAGATTGGAGGCTGGGTTGCAAAGAAGTTAAGATTAAATAAAATAGGGCTCATAAATAAAGCATCCAATTTGGTTGCGACTGAGTCAGAAAATGCTTTAGGAAAGGACGATGAGTTTGCAAAACACGCAAAAGACTTTAATGACCAGATGAAAGGTGAAACAATGCATTTAAATAGAGTCGATGGAACTATAGAAAATGTTTCTTCTCCACAACTTCCACCAGCGGTTTATCCATACGGACCTTATGGAATGTATGGAAACCCTTACGAAAGACCATTTGACCCATTGACTGGTGGAAGTAACTGGTATCATTACGGACGAAGAAGAAAGACAGTCAAGTTGGAGACGGACGTGAAGAAAGCAACTAAAAAGAAACCAAGGAAGAGAGTTATAAAGCAATGAATTCAACAGGGTGAAAAACCGGGTGAAAAAAGAGGTGAGATCTCACCACTTCACCTAAATTTATTTTTGTGCTATGTTTTCATACATGTGAGGGTGGTGATATCATTAATTTTTAAGTTTATTTTTTATTTTGCTGAAAATTTTTATTTGGATGTAAATGACAGAACAAAAGCAACTCATTCGAATTCCACAGTATAACAAACATACATTTAAACATTTATTCTTCCTTCCTGAGCATAACATGTTCTTTCAAATACATCCGAGACCAGTTGACTTTTCATTGACTGTGTATAAAGATAGAAATAGTTATATCATTAAACCATACGATGACGAAGGTAAGTTATGTAAATTGTACGTTAAGAAGTTAGAGAAAGTTTATGGCTTCAAGTATGACTACAATAGGGTTAACACTGATGATGAAGATATTGAGGAAAATTTATGAGAACATTAGTGAAGTCGTTAGTGAGAATGATAGTGAGAACGTTTATTTTTTACATTAGTGAGTTCGTTAGTGAAGTGAAGTGGTTGGCGGTTTTGTAAAGTGTCAAATTCACAAGTATTGGGTAAGGTGGAACGCAGTGCCACAGTACCCAATACTTGTATACTAACTTCTCCCTCGTATCTGATAGAATATATTTTCACGAGGAACGAAGAACAAATTCTTGAACTCATGACCGTTGTAGTTTGTTATCTCAATAGTTTTCGTCATTTATATAAAAATAAAATAAAAAATAATTTTAAAAAAAATAAACTTAAAAATAAATGATATCACCACCCTCACACGTATGAAAACATAGCCCAAAAATAAATTTAGGGTAGAAGGGTATATCTAACCCGATTTCTAACCTCATTTCTACCCTGTTGAATTCATTGCTTTATAACTCTCTTCCTTGGTTTCTTCATTTTTCATCATTGACTTTCTCCAACTCTTCTAACTTCTTCTTAAGTTCAGCAATGTTGTCCTCATGAAGTTTAATCTTTCTTAATTTACCTTCTCTATCTAATGGTTGCTTTATCTTTCTAAACTGAACTCTACCTTCCTTCATAGTATGAATGTAAAAACCTTCTGGAATAGTTCCTGATTTAATGTATTCTACCAAAAACTTTTGTTTCATTGCTTCAGTGACTTTATTTGTCATTTCAATCAAATAAAAATTTTAATATTAAATAAAAATAACGTTATTTTTTCAGTAAGGAAACGCAGGAGTTTTACGATTTATTTGAGGAGTAGGTTCTGGTTTAAATGTTGGAGTCGGTTTAGGAGTTGACTTTTGAACAGGAGTTTGTACTTCCATAGGTTCAGGAGTCATTGAAGGTTTTGGCGAAGGTGTTGGAGTTTGTTTAACTTCAGCTACTTCAGTATTATTTACAACATTTGCTTTATTTCTTTTCAACATCATAACTGCTCCTGCTGTAGCTAGCAAACCTAGTGGGAGACCATATCTTATATAAGGACTTGACCAAATGCTATTTTTGACAGGAGCTGGTGGAACACCTAACCTTGGTGAGACTGCTCTTTGCCATTGTGCAGCTCGTAAGAAAAATTCAATAGGTGCTCCATAATCGTTTGGTAAAGTTTGTTTCATAGATGGTGAAGGTTCACGAGAGCTTGATGAAGAACTCATTTATAAGCTTTAAAAATAAACGTTCATCCCTTTATTCCTCACTGTCGTCCGTAGCTAAGTTATAGTCATCTAATCTTATTATGGGGATGCCATTAGCACGCACCTGAATGGCAAAGCAACAATCCCTCATAAATCCAATAAGTGGCTTTGGTACATTTTCAGTTGCTAGTTCAATAGGTCCTTTAACAGACAATTTGTATGTTATTGGAGCAGTAGATGTTTGACCTTGCTGGAAGCAAAAGTCCACTTCTGTTGGAAAACCACATAAGAAATGTGTGTTGTCATAGCTATCCCATTTATGTTCCACACTACCATCATCCACCAATGACCTCATAACATCTTCATTAAATCCTATCATATCATTGTTTGTATTGCAGGCGTTCGCAACCATTTCATAAAATACAGGTCCATATGATTTTTCAGGTTCTGCAGGCATATTTCCATAAGCTCCCATGGAAAGCTGAAATATTTAAACTTAGGGTTCTCAAAATTAACATAATAGTTGTCTTTCTTTCTAAATAGTGCCCAAATACTTTTAACATTAATAGGCGTATAAGCTGCTGTAAATGTTGCACTTGAACTATCTGTATTCTTTGAGAATGAACCGTCCATAGGAATCCAATCCATAACTTTAACAGGAAAACATAAAGCCTCGTTTGTATAATGTTCTACAAGTTCTGTATAAATGTTAGGGTCTAAAGAGAATGACTTTGGATGAATGAAACATTCATTAAAATCCATCTTTGTTCGAAATAGTTGCTGGGTTACAGTTGTAATAGTAACTGTTCCACTAGCTTCTACTGCCTTCGTTATCATAGTGAATGGTTCATTCCATGGAACAAATTTATTTGTCGGTGGATTTGAATCTGAAGCAAATGCAACTTTAAGAGTTGGATTGAAAGCAATGATATCATTTACAGATATAGATGTGCATTGTAAGGCGTCGCTACTGAACTTTACTTTAAGCTGAATGTTTCCTGCAAAAGCTGGAATAAATCGAATAGCTTCTAATGGAAGGAATCTTCTAACAGGAATTCTTAAACGAAGCTTAAAATCAAATGATTTTCCTGCTGTAATTGGACCACTAACAATTTGTCCTGTTCTGCATGTTCCCGAATGACTCCATACATCTTCATGTCGAGTCTTTGAGAAAACATCTACTTTCTTTATTTGTTCGGTAGTTTGTGAGTTTGAAGTTATATATGCTTCTTCTCTTGCGTTGTCTTGAGAATATACGATACGACCATTTGCAAGGATTTGATATCCAGCAACTGCATAGAAAGCGTCATCGAAACCAATCCAAAATCCTGGTGGGTTTGTTTTATTGGAACCTGAACCAATTTCTTTATCTACAATAAATTGACCTTCCATTTTATACGTAATGAATGTATTGTAAAGGTCCAACATATTTTCACCAGGAGGTGAGAGATTGAATGTTACCCATGTGTTATCTTTAGCAGTTCCAGGTTGTGATGGAATCTTTGCGTCAGAATATTTTCTATTAGTGTCACCAATTTGAACTGCATTGTCTATGATATCGAAATATGAGCGAATCTGATGAATATGCTCTGCTGGAGTAAATTCGTTTAGCTGTTCGTTCTGCATGTATTTACTTCAGATAAAAATATCTATTTACTTCATTATTCTCACTCTTCTTCTTGGCATTCGTGGTGGAAGTTGTTTCTTGACATTTTCAATGAACTGTACATTCTCTTTTGTCTCAACTTCTTTCACTGGCGGGTCAGGATTCTTTGACTCGGTTTGCTTTTCAATGAAATTCACGAACTTTGCAATAAGCTCTTGGTTCGTTATTGAAAGTACATCTGGCTTCTTTTCTTCTGGTTCTATTGACTCAGTTTGAACAGAAGGTTTTATATGGGCTTCGCCCTCGGTGCCATGCACCTTAATGTTGTCGCTCTCTGTATTCGCTAATGGAACCTTTCTTTTTCTTACGTATATTTTACCATCCTTACTCTGACTTACATAATAGAAAGGATGTTGTATTCCTCTGGCGTCATTTAATATAATAGACTCTCGCTCTGATTTTGACAAGCTCATTTTACATCGGTTAAAGTTTTAATTTTATTTTTTATCTGCAGTCAAATGACTCAGACAAGCCCTACGGACAAGACCCAAGGGGTCATAGATGTTGAAGCATTGAAGAAAGAAATTCGTGAGCAAATTTTATCCGAACTGAAGGAACAAAAACAAGAACAAAATCCAGAGAGACCAAAGAGAAAACTTAGTGAAAAACAACTAGCTGCATTAGCTGCTGGAAGACAAAAGAACCCAAGACTACTGGCGAAGAAAGCTAGAGAAGAAGCTGAAGCAAAAGCTAAAGAAGCTGAAGCAAAGAAAGAGTAAATGGTTTATTTTTATCCGAATTAAATGTATAGACAAATACCTTTATCTGTTGCGTTCAGTAGTGAAAACCCTGACGTCAAAATAAAAGGGAACAGGGTAACGTTTAAGTTTCCAACAGACTGGATTGTGAACATAAATGAAGAGAAGTACATTGGCATAACATCTATGTATATAACACGTGCTTTCAGAAAGGTTGACTTTATACTTCAAGTCGAGATAGAAAATGACGAACAGTCTTTAAGCGCCCAAAACATTCACATATACAAATACTTTAAAGACGATACAACATTGCAACAATGTATGATTTCATTTAATGAATGTTCGAGAAAAAGTTCAACATTGAAGTACAAACTTTACAGCCTTTACGTGAGTTTCTTGCACAACTGAAAGAAGAAGGTAGTCAGCCACAACTTATAGACTTTCATTATGAATTTAATGAAAATGAAGATGGAACACATGACTGTCAGTTTGTTGTATTCTCACCATTCAATGAAGTCGCTAAAGAGAAAGAAAATCCATTACGTATAAGATTTCAAATCTCTGAACCAAGTGATGATTTCAAGAATGTTTTCAATTATGATGCAATGCTTCCGAGGAAAAATGAATTTTCAAAGATTGTAACACCTGGCATTTGGGATAGAAAGCAAGCTATATTATATTCAAACTTAAGTAAGGGAGTTGAAAATGAGTTCATTGGTCATACAAGAACTTCACCACTTCCTAACCCTAAATACTATAAATTAACTGGCTTCAATCGTGAGTTTTGGATAGACATGTTCTCCCCTCATGACCATAACTGCCCAGTGTTCTTACCTCCAGACCATAAGGACTGTCTCTACATTGAAGCACAACTCTTAAACTCTACCATCGCAGTATTGTAAATGACCACATGGGCTTTGCCCTTGCCGCTAGCGGCTTATTTTTATCATGAATGGTCTCACTGCTGACAAAAATAAATGACCTCATTATTTTTCTCATTCATGACCTCAGAACTTAAGCTTTCTTATGAATGAAGTCTTACTCTGAATAGAAAAGTTAAACTTTTCCTCAAATGCAGGTGTAGCAGACTTACATAAGTCAAATCCAATCTCTTGACCGTCATAAAGTGCTTTGTAAAGTTTCATTAAACTGAACTCAGAGTATTTGTCATATGTTCCAGCAGGTATGTGAATGTTCTTATCTTCATTGTAATAGCATTGTATAGCTTCAGGAAACATTTCATTTGCTGTTAAAGCAAGGACGTCTTGTTTGACACCTTTGCAACGTGCATGGAATGCAACTTCATTTAAATCGTTAGTGAGTAAGTCTATGTAGGTCTTCTTTCCACAAAATATTGACTTGTATGCTAAACTTTGTTTTCCAGGTGTTATTTTTGCGAAGTCAGAATGAAATTGACCAAGGTTCTTTCCTATAAGTTCTCTACCGTATCTCTTCTGAAATTCCTGAGCTAACAGTGGGATGTCTTCATTGAAAATATGCATGCTATCACAGTCCTGGTAGAAGATTTGAAGTCCCATATCTTCTGCAGTACAGAATACTTCATTCATAATACGTTTTGACATAGATAGAATATTAACACCAAGTGGACAGAAGTTAAAGTGTCTGCAAATGCTTTTCGTTAGCTTGAAAATAGTTTTATCTGAACCATCCAAACCTTCGAACTTCACTATATGGTTGTAGTTTCTGATGGCATATCTTATAGCATCTTTGTCATTTACTATGGTTATTTTTGACTCAATAGGAGATAGAATAGTTTTGCCATAAATACTGTTCAGAATGAGCTTTATATTTTCTTGCAAAGGATTTCCTTCTTTCTTATACTTTAACCTTAACTCAAACAACTTCTTTACTTCATCTCTTATTCTAATATCTCTGTTTCCATCGTAATAGTATCCTTGCAACACTTCACATTTGACACCTTGATATTTTATGAGGTCTTGTAATGTTATATGGTTAACATACATTAAACAGCAAGTGTTTGAACTTCTGGGAACGTTAAGTTCTGGATTTAGTTCAGGGTCACAAACTATTAAAGGAAAGTGTCTATGTATTCCAATCTCTGTTATCTTAATGAGAACAAAGAAGCCAGACATAAACTTTTCACCAATGGGTTCCTTTTGGTCGTCATCGAATAAATGTCTCATGAGATACTCTGTGCTTAACATTTCTTTCTTCATAACCTTTGGAATACCTTCTAAAGTATAAAGTCTTGCTATAGCTGATGGATATAATGAAACAGCGTCGAAATCAGCAATGAGTTTCTCTTTACTCTTTTGTTTAATGTTATCTGACAGCATACATCTTCCACCTTGAATACAGCGTGAAATAAATTCTCTTGGTTTATTTGAGAGGTCATATAAATTTCCATTCGGGAAGTATACTCTGTTTCAAAAATTTGTTAGCAATTGAACAAATACTAACGTAGTCATAAACGTTTAAATCAAATTCTTTCAATATGTCATTGCGGAACTTAACAAAACCTTCTCTTAAAATTCTTACATCTTGTTTGCAATAAAATGTGCTATATTTTCTAAGTCGAAGTGGTTCTCATCTATTCTGCAACCTTTGATGGAATCTATGTTTTTCATGAATGTATCCGCATCCCGGATAAACTTACATGCTTCAGAAATGACACCAGTTCTGTTGTCATTTGCTAACAAAACACTGCTGTAGTAGTTTATGGAAATACTTCTTTCGGTCCTGTTTGTAAGTTAAACATAGCAGGAAATAGTTTAAGCTTCTTATTTATAACACTGTAAGAGTCTTTTATAATAATTGCCCTTCCTTTATATAAGCCAGTTATTTGCATTGTTCGTGAACCTTTAATGATGGGAGTTCCTTTCACTTCTGTCATGTGTCTTAAGATGAAGTTTATATCATAACTGAGGTTATGGAAATATATTAAACTCTTGTCAGGAAGTCGTTCCAAAAATTCTGTTGCACAGTTCTGACCCCAAATGCTTTCACTCACTGAACCATCTTCACTGTCATAACAGATGTTAAAAGCTTTATGAAAGCTCTCGTGCTACATCAAAGTCAGCAAAGAAAACGTGCTCAGGAATGAACTTGCACTTATTTTTATTTACTTCTTTTGACTCGGCTTTCTTCTTCAGTTGTACACAATACTTTGGAGCATATGTCAAATCTTTAAATGGTGCAAGGTTCTGTTTATATAAGTCAGTCGTATATGTGAAAAGTTCTCCATAAGAAATAGGTTCGAAATATTTGCACTCCCACAATGTTTTCATAACATCCCATAACGGTGTTGTTCTATCATAACGAACTACATATTTATCTTCTCTCTTTGTATAAATCTTCATCTGTTTCTCAATGTTCATTCCACCACACTCCTTCAAGATTTCTATATAGTTGCGAATGAAATATGTTGTCATTGGTAATCTTTCATTTAGCATGTAGTGGTCTTCAACAAGAAGTAAGTCAATAGTTCTAACAGTTTCACATTCTTTTGGTATGTATCTCTTTATTTCATTATGTCTTGAGTCATTGAAGTAACCAATGGTAACATTAAATGCTATACCTGTTGCGTCAGAAATTTCTTGTACTTTACTTTGAGGAAAGTCTCTAACACGAATGACTTCTCTCATGTGGTCAATAGTCTCTCCATCTACTCCAGCCTGAATGCAAGCATAAACGAAACAATTGTCTTCTGTCATAAGTGCTGCAGTTCTTTTGTTCAATTCATTGAAGATTTGGTAGCGTTCAAGATTTATAGGTAATGTGCAAAGATACTTCCAGAACTGACCGCTTCTCTTCTTATAAAACTTCTTTTCACCATTATCTTTCCAAAAGCTTTCTATAAGTGCTGGGTTTCCTGTTTGCTTAAGAGCTTCCAAAATGGCTTTCTGGTCATTTGTCAGTGTGCTTTCATCTCTATATGGTCTCTTTTTTGGTTTGCCTTTCTTTACATCTGACATCGTTAAGCCTTCATATTCTGTTAAATCATACATCTTTATTTCAGTAAGATTCTTTATGTTTGTCAAGAAGAAGTCATAGTGCATTTCAACAATACCTGCAGCATTTGCTTCTATCTCTGATATAAAGTTCTCCTTCAAGAGCTGATGTAGTAATGTTCCAATATTATTGAGGTTTAACGTAGAACATTCATACTTTCCACCAAGTTTATAACATACCATCCATCTCTGTTGTGAATTTATTTTAATTTTCTCTAAGAGTCTCATGAAAACCTTACCGAAATGTTTGTGTAAGTAGTCTCTGTTTGGTTCATCTAAAGCTTCGATGTTAAAGTCAATGAGTCTATTGCCTGACTTCACATTTCTCTTCCTATTCTCTTCATCTTTCTTTAACCATCTCTCACCTTCTTTTGGTTTGTCGTCAATGGAACGAATGACATCGTTAGCTTTGCGAACTTGTTCTATAGCACTTTTAAACATCTCTCTTCTCTGTTGTTTCAGTGTGTCGTCTCTCTTTCGTGTTTTACCAACGTTTGAGTTCGTAAGTTCAAACATCTCTTGACGAACATCATGCGAAAGAGCTTTACGAGTATGACCAACGTTCGCATTTGTTATGTCAAACATTTCTCTTCTTACTTCATGAGGTACTGAACGTCTATGATATAAGTCAATAGCAACGTCATTTAAAGGAAATGCTCTTGCATGGACTTCGTCCTCGCCGCGTTGCGGCTTTATGAACTCATGAATTCTATCATAAGTTATTTCACCATTATAGTCTTTAATGAAGTCAGCGAGTGCTTTTTTGTTTGTTGCGTAATGCTTTGCAACATCTATATTAGCTTCTGTAAGAAGTTGTTTTATTTCCGAGTGTTCTAACTTAGACAACTTCCGATACATCTTTAGTAGGAAATAAAAAAAATATTTTTTGAAAAAAATAGATTAGATTTTTTAAAGTTATTTTTCAAAATAATTTAATATTTTTATTTTAATGAAACACATGCAAGATTGCAAGTTCTTTTCATACAATGCTCTCGCTACTGCCATCAAGAATGAGTTCAATGGTGCTGCAAACGTTAATGTTATCTTTAACAAGAAGTTTGTGAAAGAATCTAAGTTTGGTCAGTATGTCAGACCATTAGCTATCGTCATTGACCGCAAACGTTATACTTCACAAGAGTTAGCAGTAGTTTTGAAACAAAAGAGTTTCTTCGTGAATGTCAAAGATACTCATTATACTGTCATAAAGAACTCTAACATTGACTTCTTCAGTATTGCTATGAATCTTTCCGAACAGAAAGAATATAAGAAAGGTGAAACAAATGTGAAATATTATCCTTCATCTCTGAAGACAATAACGAACAAAGATGTTATACAGAAATTCTTACCAAAGGTTGAAGAAGCTTCTATTGACATTGACGAAGGAAGTGAAATGGTTGAAGAAATAGACCCTGAAGCTATTTAAGCAAAAATATATTTTTGGTTAGTCTTCATATGGATATTTTACAACAATTCCCCAATGTATAAACTTTTCATACGCTTTTTCATAAGCTTTATATACCTTCAGAAATTTTGCATAATCTTTAGAAGCATTTAGATATTGTTTAAATGCTTTGTATGTCTTCAGAAATTTTGCATAATCTTTTACATGTTGTTCGTTCTCTTCTTCTGTCATGAGTTCCGAATATTCTAAATTCATGTTCTTTCATATGAGATAAAATTTTATAAAAAAAATAAAATTAGCTTAGATTTTTTTATTCTTCCTCTTTGAAGTTATCAAAATATTCTGTTATTTTTTCCTTCAGTAATGTTAAGTCTTCTTTGAATGTAAGTATTGTGCAACCTTTGATGTCATAGTGTGTTTGAGGAAGAGTATTTTTGACAATTTCCTTTATTTGCTCATTCGGTGTCATTGAAATCGGTAAGTTTTCACGATAGAACCAGTTTCTGTCAGATTTATATATTTTAGCTAAGTCATAAAAGCTCTTGTTGTTTCTTCTGACTAAATGTAACATAACCATATCTTTATCTTCTTCTTTCTCCAACTCTTCAGTGTAAATCATATACTTATAACTCTTTTCCTTTCCTTTTGGTACTGAACGCGGTATTCTTTTCTGTATGCTTTTGTCTTTGGATTCAATGACTTCATCTTTTGCATGAAGTTTCTTTTCCATCTCTCCACGTTCTGCTTTATATAGTTCATCTAACATCATGAAAATATAACAAGCATAACGAGGTGAAGCCCACATTGCTACAGCGTTTACTAAAAGTCTATGAACATAATAACCTTTCAAACCAGGAGCCAAATTCTTGCGATTTTCGTACGGAATCTCTTCCCCCGGTTTTCCGAGGGAAGCAATCATATGAGGAAATTCTTCTAAAAGTTCTTTTGTCTGTTGGTTTTCAAACCAATGATATGCTTGCTTTGTAGAACGAAGAGCATTCATTATACTTTGCATTTGGTACATGTCATCTTTGACTGAACGAATGAGACGTAACTGTTTGTTATACTGTATGTACTCGTATTCTTCATTTATGACTTCATGAACGATAGCAGTTGTTGTGTTCTCTGATGTTGACATTACTGTCTTTACATACAAGATAAAAAAAAATAAATAAAAATAAAAACTAACTTTATTTTTTCTGTCTTAAGGAAATTCATTATTTTTGTGCTTAATTCAATAAAAATATATTTTAGGGTAGAAGGTTAGATCTAACCCGATATCTACCCTCATTTCTACCCCAGTTATTTTATAAAAGTTTCACATGATATACGTTATGAATTCGTGAGATTTTGTGAAAACTCAACGGTTTGACGCATGCCCTAAAAATTATTTTACTCAGAATTTTGTTGCTGAATTCAATAAAAATATATTTTAGGTGAAGAGGTGAGATTTCACCTCTTTTTTCACCTAATTTTTCACCTTTTTTTTCACAAGCGTTTTACATGAATTGTACGATGTATATTTGAAATCCTAAACAATTTCGTAGCTTCAATTTCTTCTTTTAGTACATCAAAAATTTTAACAATGCCGAAAGTCTCTTTATATTTCTTCTTGACATCAGATAATAGGAAATCGTCAGCAGTTGGATAGTTTTTGTTCAGAAATTCTAACATGTTCATTTTATTTTCTACCGGCTTCTCTGCTTCTTTCTTTAAGTCAGCATAGTCGTTTCGCATACGTTCTATCTCTTTGACGGAGTAGTTATATTTCCTCATTGCTGCTTTACATTTAGAACATTGCGGATTCATTTTTGCGTTATATTCTGAAACCTTACCTGCTAAAACAACCAAGGCGTCAATGGTTTTCTTTAAATCTGAAGCAGTTGGTTTTATCTGTTCATGCCATACCTTACCTCTTCTATCTTTATCTCTTATCTGCCATACACATTTTGCAGCTAATGAAACAAAGTTGTCGTATGTCTTAAACTCCCCCGATTTATATATGTCAGAGATGTTCTTATATACCATGTCGCAATCTTTGTCCATAACTTTATGGTTGCAATGAAAACCAAGGAATTCATAATTTACTTTACGTATGAATTTCTTAATTTCTACTGAGTCAGTTGCTTTGACTTCAATTTCGTCGAATTCAGGAATAGTTAGTTTTTGCTGCTGAATTTCAGGTAGTTTAGGCAAATGGTCGATGAGGTCCTCCATTTCATAAAGATACTGTTCATTTGTTTCATCTTTCGCACTACAGTCTAAATTACTTGTTAAAAGTTCTTGCTTTATCTTCTGGATTTCTGTTTCAAAAGTATATGAAGAAGGAATAAAGCTTTTCATCTCTACCAACATTGACGTAGGATTCATGACTTACGAGTTTGGTGCTGTAGTTGTTTGAATTGTTGTTGTGCCGATTGTTGAAATCATATCTTTTATACAAAATAAAAAAATAAATAAAAATAAAACTAACTTTATTTTTTCTATCTTAAGGAAATTCATGAAAATTCAAGACCTTTGGGTCTCGCCGCTTAGCGGTTGAGGGTAGAAATCGGGTTAGATATCGGGTTAGATCTAACCATCTACCCTAAACATTATTTTTGCTGAATTCAGCAACAAAATGAACGAGGTCAGGATGTATGTAAATACCTTTGAATTCATTTATAACGCCCTTAGTAAGCTCATAAAATGCTTGTTTTGAGGTTGAGCCACTTTTGGCTCGACCGTATTCTTTCATCCAAAACTCAAGAATTTCCTGCATTAATTTTGTATAAAAAGCAACAGTCCGAATTCCAGCGGTTGCTATATTCTTCACAAAATGCCTTATAATACTCTTCCCAGGACTTATTTTCCAACAACTTTCTAAAGTCTTTCCTAAACTGACTGACTGACTGACTGACTGACGGCACAAAGTGGCTTAACGAAAACATTAATATATAAAATTCATGAAAATTCATGAGGGTGAAAAAACAGGTGAAAAAAGAGGTGAAATCTCACCTCTTCACCTAAATTATATTTTTTGGTGTAAATAAATGGTACCATTAATGATATCATGACTGTTCTCGTTCATGTCTGATTTACATCTAATGAAAAAGTTTAGAAGAATTTTCTTATTCTTTCTGGCTTATTTTTGTCTTTCCAGTACTCACGCTCTAATGGTCCCAGATGTGTTGGCTTCGACTCTCTCAAGTTCTTAGATGGTATAACATCTTCAACGCCTCCTTCATATCTTACTTTATAAGTGTCATCGTTTATGTTGTAGCCAAGTATTTCAATAACCACTCCTCGCTTTGCTTCGTCAATGGTTTCAGCAAGTTTGCCATTACTACTTTCGACTAATTTATGACGAGGATAAAACGCAATGGAGTCGTCAGCAGCTTTTATAAGATATCCATTACCTTGCGTAGAGTCTACGATATAATAGTTTCTACTTAACCTTAAAAGTTTCTTTGTCAACGGTTTGTCGTCAAGAACTACACGAACTTTTGTACCAGGAATGAGGGTAAATTGTGTTGAATTTCTGATATTTTGTGTTTGGCTTCGTTTCTTTTGTATATACTTTTCTTCTTGTTGTTGTGTCATTGAATTTGGTGTATGTCCTGTTGTAGAATGTGTTGAGGAATTATATACTTCGAGAAAATGTTTCATTGTTTCTTCGGTAAAGTCTCGCTCTTGGTTTAAATCTCTGAGCGTCCTTATGAAGCGGTTTATGATGCCGAGTATGTTATGGTTATGGTCTTCAGTAGTGTAGTGAGTTATGTTATGCTTAATGAGAAATTCTGTGATTTCATTGCTGAGGTATGCACCGTCTTGGTCTGATGTTAAAGTACTTGGGTTATGTTCTGCTACAAACTTTTGTAAAACTCTTAACACTTCACGAGTTCCTTTATTTTTCATTGGATATGCATATGCTTTGCGAGTGTTAACATTAATGAAGATGAGGAATGGTTTATGTCCTCCTTTTCTGCTTTGAATGAGAGTGTCAAATTGGTATGCGTCAGGAGTGTTGGAGTAAATTGGTAAAAAGTAGTCGTAAGGGTTTATTTTTGTTTGATGTACAACATTTTTGTCAAAGAACCTTTTCACTTCAGCTCTGTTAGTAAATCCCCAACTCTTCGCAGCTTCATTGAACTTCTTAAATGACCTCCATGGATGTTGTTCGAATACTTCTTTCAAGCTCATTTATGTAAAGTTAAAGATTTTATTCAAGACGGTAAGCCTTGACCCAAAGGGTCTAGGCTCAAGCGCGTTCATTGAACGCGGTACCATGCGAATACAGTCATAAATGGTGGCATATAATCTTCCCCCGAGCCTGTTGGATTTGTTGTGAAAGTATGGACATGATTTCCTCCTGGTTCAGTTGGTCGAAAAGTCTTTTTTGCTGCATTGTTATAAGATGGAGATAAAACATCATTGCCAGCTTTATATTCTGAGTTGTATAATGGGTGGTCTCTTAATGAGTGGCTATGGTCGCCAGAAAAGTTTGTCGTTCCTGTATGAGTGTGCGCAGGTAAGTTTGCTTCAGTAATTTTCTTCGAACCTCCTGTTTGCTTTGAAGAGTTAGCACAGTATAAGAATTTGTCTACAATCTGCTGCCATGTACCAAAACCTAAAACACTTGCTGGATTTGTTGAATTCATTGACGTATATAGAGCCTATAGGATATAATGTTTGAAGTATTTCAGTCTTTAATGTTTGAAGCTCTGTTTTGTCTGCTTTCTTATCATATAAATCTTGAGCAGTGAATTTAACATTATTTTCATCATCCATGACATAAACATTTTTACAGCTAATTTCTTTCTTCGTTGTTATGTTTTCATTCGATGTTAAACCTTGTGGAAAGTTAGGAGGTTTATAATATAATGCATCCCCACCAGTTCCGCCAACCGTTCCTTCAATACTTTCTATAGCAACAGTTGAGAAGGAGTTATGTGTATGTTCTTTATCTGCTTTCTTATCTAACATTGCTGGTAGTTCATGTGTTTCAAAGTTTCTGACATGACCTTCGATATTCATACATTTGTTATTTAAGGAGTTTAGAGTATCTTTTACGCTTGTACTTGGATTCTCTAAAGGTGCACTTGAACCAAGGGTATAGTTCAATATTATGTCGTCTGCTCTAACAGTAGTGAAGGATTCATGTGTATGGTTCTTGTCAGCTTTACTATTTAATGTAGCTTGAAGTTCATTTATATCGGAGATATTGTGTTTATGAGATTTCAAAACTTTGTTCATTGCGTCAAGTTCATCTTTGTCAGCTTTACTTTTAATAGCATCTTCAAAAGTTATTTTTGCCTTAACTCTCAAAGTAAATCTTGGTTCAACTAATACACCGTTAACAGAGAAACTAGAAGCATAAATTTCATCGTTATAACCAAATGCTTCTGGTGCTTTACCTGTGTCATACTGTACAGTACAGTGTATGTCATAACCTTTAGCACGAATGTATTTATATCTTCTTTCATTAACATCTTTCGTCTTCACTTCTTCATCCTGTGTTAAATATCCATGGTAGTCCGTTATAATCTGTTCGTCTGAACTTATATAATGAACATGGTTTTTATCTGCTTTTTCGGCTAATTTCTCTTCTATCTCATTTATTTCAAGTTCATACCTACCACCACTGACCTTAGACACTGAAGTTTGTGTTGGAGTTTGTGTTGGAGTTTGTGTTTGTCATTTGTGCTGAAGTTTGTGTTGGAGTTTGTGTTTGTCATTTGTGTTTGTCATTTGTGCTGAAGTTAGTACTTGTCGTTAGTGTTGGAGTTTGTGTTTGTTGTTAGTGTTTGTCATTTGTGCTGAAGTTAGTACTTGTCATTTGTGCTGAAGTTAGTACTTAATGTTAGTGTTTGTTGTTAGTGAGAGAATAAATTAAATCATGAACTTTGCCATGGTCTCTGTCCCTAGTAGTTTTCATTAAGTTCTGGAAATAATGAAAGTCATAAACTTTGCCATGGTCTCTGTCCCTAGTAGTTTTCATTAAGTTCTGGAAATAATGAAAGTCATACTTTCTATCAGATGAAGCATGCAGATGAACATAACGAAAGTTAGTGAGTTTGCCACGAGTTATGAATAAAATATTGGCATATTAGATGAGATAGCTGATGAAACAGATGAAGATAAATTAAATCTTGGACTTTGCCACACTCTGTCCCTAGTTCCTCAAAATCCTTGACAACGTTGCTTAGAAATTTTGGTTCAAAACCTCATCTGATTTTAATCTGTTATGCTACCTGTTAAGTTTCGCGAGATTATAAATGTCATGGAGTTATATAAAAAGGAGGGACAGCTAGGGACACTGGAAGTACTTGTAAGGCTATCTGTTAAGATTGCATGAAATACTAAAAATCATGAAATCCATTATCGCTGTGCTAGCTTCACCTTAGAGTAAAATGCCGACTAAAGTCACTGAAGCAATGAAACAAAAGTTTTTGGTAGAATACATTAAATCAGGAACTATTCCAGAAGGTTTTTACATTCATACTATGAAGGATGGTAGAGTTCAGTTTAGAAAGATAAAGCAACCATTAGATAAAGAAGGAATTTTGAGAAAGATTAAACTTCATGAGGACAACATTGCTGAACTTAAGAAGAAGTTAGAAGAGTTGGAGAAAGGAAGAGAGTTATAAAGCAATGAATTCAACAGGGTGAAAAAACAGGTGAAAAAAGAGGTGAGATCTCACCACTTCACCTAAATTTATTTTTGTGCTATGTTTTCATACGTGTGAGGGTGGTGATATCATTTATTTTTAAGTTTATTTTTTTAAAATTATTTTTTATTTTATTTTTATATAAATGACGAAAACTATTGAGATAACAAACTACAACGGTCATGAGTTCAAGAATTTGTTCTTCGTTCCTCGTGAAAATACATTCTATCAGATACGAGGGAGAAAGGGTAAAGTTAGTTTGAGCGTTTATGACTACAAGCATAATGGAAAGTTTATACAAGCATACGATACAAACGGTAAACGTGTTTCATTAGCTTTGTCAAAACTTACAGGTATAAACTATGACAGTGATTTTGACCTATATGAAGAAGAAAGTGAGTCAGAAGATTATGAGCTGTTATATGAAGCACAGCAATGGGAGGAGTTGCAATACTTTTGTAAGTGAGAACGTTTATTTTTACATCAGTGAAGTCGTTTGTGAAAACATTAGTGAATTCGTTAGTGAAGTCGTTAGTGTTGTAAAATATACGTTAACGGTTTTGTAAAGTGTCAAATTCACATATAATGGGTAAGGAGGCGCGCAGTGCCGCCGTACCCATTATATGTATACTAACTTAGGTCTTCAGAATGAAGCGCTTGCTTTCAGAGTTGTTGACTTCAATACTATCGCAACTTTTGTCATAACAGATGAAACAGATTTCATAGAGATTGAAATAGATGACAAAAGAAGTGTTATAACATTTCCTAACAGAGCTGGGTATAGAATAGATAAAATTGCTGGAGTCATAGATACTCTCATAAATGAAGAAACTATTGACAACATAGATGTCGAACTCTCTTCTGAGGGAACATTGAAGTTCAGTTATGCGAAGGAGTTTAAGATAACACGAATGAGTCATAGAGTTCATTTGCTTCTGGGAGCATACCATATGACATTTCCTTTGAAAAGTGTTGACAAAACGATTGAGATGAAATCTGTTCCATACGTATGTTATGGCAATTGTTTGTACATTGAGTCTAAAATAGCTAATGTCACAGGTATTTCAGGAGTTAATAGTAAAGGTTCAGTAGAATATAAATCCTTCTGTTATGCAGTAAATTCAATGTTCATTCCAAACGTTCCTGTCATAGCAACTCATTTAGGTAAATGGGTTCGCATTAGTCCACATAATTTGAAAGATATGCAATTCAGACTAGTTGACTTTCAAGGAGAGCCTGTAGAACTGAAGGCACCAGTGCGAATGACTGTTGAAGTTGACTTTTTAGAAAATATTAAATGCGACGGCTTACAAGAGAACTCAGAGCTAAAAATATAAAGTATGAATGTTATGTATTAGGTCATGAACTTTGGTTGTTGCTGTTTGATGAAACAAATGAGTTAGTTATGTCAGTCAAGAGAACAGAAAAATATTGTGTTAGTGAAAACTGCATCAAGTCAATAAGATTAGGTTTGCATTATGAAGATGAGTTCGATACTGTTGAAGAAGTTTTGGATAGATATTACAAATTGCTAACTTGAAATTTTTTTGACTGACGGCGCAAAGCGCCAAGACCGAAGGTCCTGACTGCTTTAATTTACTAAAACATATTTCAAACAAAGCTTATAGTCAGTAGATAGTTTTGTATACTCGTTCGAATATCTATACTTAAACTCAACTCCTGTAGTTCCTGGTGTTTCAATGATGCGGATGTTACCTATTTTCATGAATATTGGCGTTTGACCACAGCATTCGATTTCAGGGTCGAGATAGTCAATGACACATTGTTTCCCTGTTATTCGTGATATAACATTTTCAAGGTCCTCCTTTGTTAGAATTATTTGGTTCTTACTTATAAGATTTGTCAAAAGCTTCTTATCGTCTTTGAGTAAAATTGTTTGGTATAACTGAAGAAGGTAATGGTCTACTTTATCTGAAGGATTTGTTTGAACATTTGTGTAAGGGTTGTCGTTGGCTTCTCTTGAAAGAATTTGGTCCAGTGGTGGATACTCTAACTTAACATCTGATGTAGCGTTAGCGTTTGAAGCTGTGTTTAAATTCACCGACTTAAGATCTGGTTATTTTTCTTTCAAACACTCTGAACTATAGTTCTTTATGACAATATTGTTTGTCGTTCGTGAGTCAACATTTGATGTTGGTTCAATTGGAACATTAACGGCACCAGCTAAGATGGATTTGCTTCTCATTTCATATAGAATAAAAACCTTTTATATGTATGAAATGAACAATATACTCGACAGGGGTTTGAATGTAAAGCTAACGAATGAAAATATTGTTGAATTCACTGAGACAGGTGCTGTGTATAAAGATGTAGAACTACTGAACAAAAGAGCTAAGGGAAGAAGCAGGAACATGAACAAAGGGTGGAAGCCTATAAAAATTTATGTCAATGATGGCTCAGGAGGTTCAAACATAAAGTATGCAGAAAGTTATAGAGTTTATGCTCTCAAAGGTGAAAAGCCTTCATTTAAGAACAGCTATTCTAACGCATATCCTCAAAAGCTAACGGATGGGGAAGTGGATGATATGAATGACAGCAAAAATATTAACAGAAATGGCGACAGAGATGCATGGAATTTGTTTACCATCGGTCAATTGAAGGTTAAACTTTAAAACAATGTTGGTCGTTCCCATGGAATATTTTTGACTTTAATGGTATTAGTCATGATATGAATCTCAAGGTATGAACGAGGAGAGATGAGAGACTTATATGCTTCCCAAATTTCTTCAAAAGGTAATGTTATACCTGACTGTTTCCAAATGAGTTCAATATCATAACGTGAGAAACCTTGAAAGATAACGAAGTCAGTTATGAGACGTTTTATGTTTAAAGCAAGAAAACGCCATGTTTGCATAAGTAATGCTACAGTTAAGTGGTAATGTCTGACTTTAGTAATGATGTTAGCTAATGGTGAGTCAGGCTTTGAAACTAAACCTTTTCCGGCGAAGTCGTCGCAAACGAGCAGAGTGTTTGAAGGATATTTTTTGAAGGGGTATTTTGAAAGTTTTGATAGAATGTAGTTTGTCAGTCGTTTCATATCGTAAACTCCTGAGTACTGACGTAAGTGGTGTTTGTCAATAATTCTTTCCATCTCCTCAGAAGTCTTTTGCATTCCTGACTGTATAAATTCAACGATGGCATAATATTTTCTCTTACGTCGAATGTAACGTTGAAGAAATTCAATGAGTTCGCTATCTGGAACTTTAACGACCGAGGCTTGAACTTTTGACATAAATGTTTTCGCTGTTGAATCCATAGAGTCTGAAGTTGCTGATATAATGATTTGGTCATAGTAAGAGTCGTTTCCTAAACGCTCTGTTATAAGAATATGACGAATGAGGTTAAATGTCTTACCTGAACCCATCTTTCCACAATAGAAATACACACCATTTGAACAGAATTCATAATCTTTGCTGAAAGGAAGAATGAGAGAAGAGTTAAGTTTGTCTGTAGTTTCATTCATGTCTTCATCTACGTCATGTATTAAATGCTTCATTTTATCTCCATTAAAAATGCAAGTCAGAAATATTCAGAACATAGCACCGAGTCTAACTGACAAGAGTATAAAGATATACTATGAACATGTTATGATGAAACCAACCAAAATTCAAGAAAGTCAGTATACTTATGAATATCCAAGACACTGGGTAGAGTATGTAGGAGGTGAGAAAGCTATTGAAATAAGACAGGTTCGAAGTATTCCAGCAGGAAGAACAATATTATTGAAGAACTTTAATTTTTTGAGATATAATGATGAAACAAAGAAGCAAGATAGTTTCCCTGTTGCTGTGTATGTGAACTTAGATACAGGAGATGACATGAAAGTTTTTAACACAAAGCTTCAAACGGTAGTGAGAGAACAACTTACTGCGGAAGGACATCCATTACCTTCAGAAGTTACCATAGCATATAATTTTGAAACAAACTCAATAGATTTTAAAGTCGTCTCTGCAAAGAAGTCAGGATTTACATTTAATGAAGCAGATGTCTATTCGAATGAAAACTTCAAAGCTATTGCATGGTTAGATAATGACGATTGCTTTAAGAAAATATTTAAATTCAGTGACTCAACGATGTCAATAGATGACCTTCGTGGAATGTTACCATCGACGTTTACAGTAGAAGGTTCAGCAGGATTGCTTACAATATTGTCAATTGGTGGTATTTGGTCTCGTGAGAACATTGTTATAAAATCCAGTATAAGTGAATTTGCTGAAGAATCTATATTATGTCTTTCAAACTATATGTATTCGCCGCCGAAGCATTATAGTATAACAAACTTTGTCAGTAAGTTTAATATAAGACTTGTTGAACCTTCTTCAATGAAAGATGTTGTGCTACCCAAAGACGGAAAGGATGGACTCATTATTGAAATGATTTTAATTGCATATTAAATGAGCTTGTTCTTGAAGGTCATTCATGATGAAATAACCGTTGTAGAAGATGTTAGCAATTGTTCAGACATTTTGAAGCGAATAGATGAGATAAGAAAGAAGTTAGATAGACCGCAAAGCGGTGAGGGCGAAGCCCGTGAGAACGCTTATGTTTCATTGACTTTCTCCAGTAACGAGAACTTTTATGAGATAATATTGAAGAGAGATGATTTTAATATGGTGTAAATGGTAGCTTGGGCAGCTTTAGGCGCAATTGGAACAAAAGCATTAGCATTTGGAGCAAAAGCACTTGGAGCTTATGACGCAGTAAATAAAATGAGTGGAGGAAGGGTTTCGAAGACATTAGATGCAAATAAAGGAAAGATTGGAGGCTGGGTTGCAAAGAAGTTAAGATTAAATAAAATAGGGCTCATAAATAAAGCATCCAATTTGGTTGCGACTGAGTCAGAAAATGCTTTAGGAAAGGACGATGAGTTTGCAAAACACGCAAAAGACTTTAATGACCAGATGAAAGGTGAAACAATGCATTTAAATAGAGTCGATGGAACTATAGAAAATGTTTCTTCTCCACAACTTCCACCAGCGGTTTATCCATACGGACCTTATGGAATGTATGGAAACCCTTACGAAAGACCATTTGACCCATTGACTGGTGGAAGTAACTGGTATCATTACGGACGAAGAAGAAAGACAGTCAAGTTGGAGACAGATGTTAAGAAAGCAACTAAAAAGAAACCAAGGAAGAGAGTTATAAAGCAATGAATTCAACAGGGTAGAAATGAGGTTAGAAATCGGGTTAGATATACCCTTCTACCCTAAATTTATTTTTGGGCTATGTTTTCATACGTGTGAGGGTGGTGATATCATTTATTTTTAAGTTTATTTTTTTAAAATTATTTTTTATTTTATTTTTATATAAATGACGAAAACTATTGAGATAACAAACTACAACGGTCATGAGTTCAAGAATTTGTTCTTCGTTCCTCGTGAAAATACATTCTATCAGACACGAGGGAGAAAGGGTAAAGTTAGTTTGAGCGTTTATGACTACAAGCATAATGGAAAGTTTATACAAGCATACGATACAAACGGTAAACGTGTTTCATTAGCTTTGTCAAAACTTACTAACATTTATTTTGACAGTGACTTTGACTCTGACGATTGGAGCGACAGCAGCGATACTGAAGAATATGAACTACTGTGTGAAGCACAGCAATGGGAAGAGTTGCAATACTTTTGTAAATGAGAACGTTTATTTTTTACAGTAGTGAAGTCGTTTGTGAAAACGTTAGTGAGGTGAAGTGGTTGGCGGCTTTATAAATATTTAAGGTTAAGTTGGTGTTTGTGTTTGTGTTGTAAAATATGCGTTAACGGTTTTGTAAAGTGTCAAATTCACATATAATGGGTAAGGAGGCTCGCAGTGCCTCCGTACACATGATATGTATACTAACTAAAGATATATCTCGAAAAAAATTGAATTTATTGTAAAGAATGAAGAAGTTCATTTTAAGATTGAGTTGATTTTCAACCAAAACGAGAGAGCATGCAGGCAAATGAAATTCGAAAAGTGAAAGGAATGACATATGCAAAAGAAAAGATTCAAATAACGCAAGCGAAATATAGATCAGTTAAAATCAGAATAAAATTTCGATCTTTTCTACAGGGAACTAAAGGCTATGAGGCACTAATATATAATCAGTGCCTCATAGCCTTTAGTTTGTTATTAAAAACGAGAAAACTTGTTCGAAATGATAAACAATTTCGAACAAGTTTTCTCGTTTTAAGGAGGGAATTGTTCCTTATGATGCATACATTATAAATATATACATCATAAGGAACAATTCCCTCTAGATAGCTGGGAAACTTTCTCTAAATAACTTATCATTTGGAGAAAGTTTCCCAGCTATCTACTGGGAACTAAAGGCTATGAGGCACTAATATATAATCAGTGCCTCATAGCCTTTAGTTTGTTATTAAAAACGAGAAAACTTGTTCGAAATGATAAACAATTTCGAACAAGTTTTCTCGTTTTAAGGAGGGAATTGTTCCTTATGATGCATACATTATAAATATATACATCATAAGGAACAATTCCCTCTAGATAGCTAGGAAACCCTAAATTAACTATTAATCTTTGAGATATTTTTTTATTGAGGTTAATACGTTTTTCTAAATAATTAAAATGTAAAATTTTGATTGTGAACTCATCTCTAATATTTTGGCTCCTTAATATATTTGAATCATGATCTTTGAGAAGAGTTCTCAAAAGTATTCACAAAAGCTATTTTTCCTTGAAATTTAAAAATCCTGATTATCATATATTACCGAATTCAATTCCCTACATCTTTCAAAATATTCTATGAACATTTCAATTTTTGAAAAAAAAATATATTTTTTCCAAATATATTTATTATCATATTTTTAATAATATTTCCTAAAGCGTCACTTTTTACTTCCTCGACGATTATTTCCCTCTCAAAAAATTCAATAGCTTACATTTTGACAGAACTTAATATGTAACGCAAATACATACATTTTATTCATACATTACAAATGAAAGATTTAATTTTTGAAAAACCTAAATTTTTTCGAAAATCAAATATTTCGGTGTATTATATGCGCCTTTGTTTAAATTATTCGCCAATTCCTCATCACGAATGTAAGATATTTTGGTATTACAAAAGAGAATCCATGAATTGATGTTTTCGTCCAAAATAATAATATTATATTGTCGACTGTGATAAGTTATTATGGCTACTAGTTTGGATTTTACAGCTGGATTGTTATTCCATGTGTAATCATCCAATGGAAACGTAAAACCAGCAACATCAATAAAAAGATAATCTGAAAAAGTAGGAGTAAGTTGAAGTTCGTTATTATTAACAAGAGGAATGTCAATTTTATCTGTAAATCCCCAGCAGAATTTTTTGAAATAATCAATAAGATCTAGTTGCCTAGCTTCACATGCAAGCGATTCTTGTAATTGTTTGAAAGCATCAATTGGATCAGCTTGATGTATCTTTTGCCGTTTCGAGTACAGGTGATACAGATAAGTAACATCTGCATTTTCCGAAAAGTTCCGATTTGTGAGCGATAATATTTCTTTGTATATTAACTGTTGCTCATTGGGATTAGAGAATAATTCGTCAAATAGTTTGTGCATTAATGGTCGAAATGTAATAAGTTGAACAATAACGGCAAGAAAACTGAGATTTTTTCCAAGCTTGATACCAAGCTTTTGTTTTTTAGGCTTATCATGAGTTTTTCTGAGTGTCTGTGGAAGTTGTATCAAATCAGGATGAAAATCTGCTATCATTTCAAGAGATGGTGGATTGTGGTTGAGGACGTTAAGATAATTGATTGCGTTTATCTTAATTTTCTCAAAGTTATGAAAATCAGTAAAAGCTGAATTCATAATTTCTTTTGCTTGCTGAGAATCGTAAACTGCAACAGCCGAGATGTTTTCTTCATTAATACGAATTAAAGACGAGTACGTATTATAAAGATCTTGTTTAAATTTGGATAATAAATTTTGGAATTCTTGAGGATCATCTGGAATTTCCTTCGCCTTGAAGAAAAATGAAAACCTTTTCCAATCTGGTGGTACTTTGATATCGGAACCAAATATAGATTTTATGTTGAATTTTGGATAATCTGTTGGAAGTGAAAGATTTTCAGATTCTGACGGTTCTTCATCCGCTGGCGGATCCTCATCGTCAGTGTATTCAATTTTTTCGGATCTGGATCCAGCTTTTGACGGTTTATGAGGAACGAAGTCAGCGAATTCTGGGTCAATTTCATCTGGAATGTAATGAACGCATCTGTTATGATTTCTGTAGTTTTCCGAAGTTCTTCTGATATGGTCATAATCGGATTTATTTTCGAAATTTAATATAACTTGTAAAATATCTTCATCAAAATAAGAATCATCTATACCCATTAATCTTCTTAGTTTTGTCTTCCAATTGTCTTCATTATACGTAAATACAGAAACAAAAATTCTGGCTGGAAATCCAATAATCCAACGAAGATTTTTTGGGACTAAATGGGCTTTCAATGAATTGAAAGCTTGGTTGAAATTTGTATGATATTGTTTGCTGATTCTTAGAAACAATGGAGCAATATTTGTAATAATTTCTCTTTTTTCGATATGCTCTGGTGATTCTCCTGGATATCTATTAATTAATCCCATCCATCTCTGAACCTTTTGCTCTGGTTTTAATGTTGGGCATGCAAAAAGGATCCTAAATATTTTTTCAAATTTAGGATATTTAGTGACAATTTTTGAAAATGCTGATTTTATCACATGATTTGGATCTCTTACATGTGATAATTGTGCACCAGAATTCTCTATCATTGTTGAATCTTTAACATCACCATCTGAACAAAAAACTTTTATTTTTTTCCATAAATCAGATTTCAACATATCACGTAATGCATAGCTTTCCATTAATCCTGGTGAAATTTTTGGTTCAACCAAAATTTTGGGACTTTTGAATTTTATAGGGTGTCCAAAGGTGTGTTTAGCACAAACCTGAATACTGCGAATAGAAATAAACAAGTTACATATATATAAAGTTTATTTAAATATAATCACCATTGGATTCAATCACGCGTTCGCAGCGATCGATCCAGGCTTGAAAGACACGCTTTAAATCATCATGAGAAAATTGCTCAAATTGCTCTCTTACAAAATTTTCAAGATCATCTGGACTCGCGAATTCGCGTCCTTCAGCTCTCTTTTTTAGCGTGCCGAATAAATAAAAGTCAGAGGGTGCAATATCAGGTGAATAAATTGGGTTTGGAACAACTTTGACATTGTTTTCCACCAAGTAATTCATTACCTTATGACTTTTGTGAACTCTTGAATTATCAAAATGAATTGCAAACTTTTGTTTTTGTTGTTTGGATTTCTCAAACTCATCAGAATTGATAATTTGAGTAAGAACATTGTCAATTAGATACTGAGCATTCATCGTATTAGGTTTTTGAAGAATATCAATTGCGATGATGCCATTCACGCCCCAAAAAACCGACAACATCATCATTGGTGTGTCAATTTTTTTCTTCGGGAATGTTTGCGGATTTTCATCCTTCGGGATCCACATGATTTTGGCTTCTGTTGCATATTGAAACCAAGACTCGTCCCCTGTTACTAAAAGCGAAACTTCTTGGATTGATACGCACGCAATATAGAGAGGAGCTCTTTCGAAGATTGGACTCTAGATTTTTTTGAACTGAATTAAGGTTGTGCGGAACCCAACGTGTATACGCTAGTTTGTAGTTCAAATAATTGTGCAGATAATAACTGACTGTTGTACGTGGTATCTTTGTCATCTCCTCTATCCTTCTGAGTGATGCTCTTGGGTCTTCATCTAGCGCTTGAAGAATTGCTTTGATTTTCTTTGATCCGGCGATTTTTTGTCAATTTTTATGATGGGCGCCTTTTTGTTCATGAAGTGATACATCCTAACATGATACGTTACAGTGGAATAGCTAGGAGCATCCATACTGAAGCATTTTACCAATGTCTCGTAGATTTTTTACAGTCTTTGCATTTTTTTGCAAGAGCGAGGATGTTTTCTTTATGATTCATTAAAAAAATGAAAAAAATCCCGCCAAAATTTCCCGCGAAACCGCCTCTTGTCTCAAAATTCATTTTATATCCCGGCATGGCGCCAAAATACAACTTACTCATCATATACATATATTCATATTTTTTATTATATATTTATAATCAGCATATATCTCCTTTAATAGTCTCATATAGAGCGCTGTGCTAAACGCACCTTTGGACACCCTATATTAATTCTGGATGCCTTGAAACTATTCTAAAATCTAATATTTTGTTTGTATTTATATCTATAAGCATAATGACGGCATGTAAAGCATCGCTTAGAACTCCATGCGCAATCTAATGAAACATTAAATTTGTATTCTGAATCATGTTTAAGAATTTCTTGTATATTAGCTTCACAACTTGCTGTTGCAACTTTCTCAAGATCTGGCAATATGCTCTTTAGATGCGCAAGTAATGTAGTTTCTGTTGGGCAACGAAAGTTTAGGAGTGATGCCAATTCAATGTGTTTTGAAAATCCTGCACCAGATATAAGAGAAATGTAAGTATGAAGATTCTTGACAACGTCACTATACGGAACTCCAGGCTTAAATTTGACGTTGAATATTGTTTCTTCCTTAACATTTGATTGTGAATGATCTTGTTTTGAATTAAACTGGTTTAGATTAATGAAATGCGAAAAAGGTTTCTTATTTGAATAAACAGTTCGATGATAGACCCTTTTTTGACAGTCATCAGCTTTATATGTTATTAATATCTCTTCAATTGTGTATCCTTCCATGATTGGAATAGAATACTCCATAGGAAGAGCTAAAATCCCGCCAAATTTTACGGTTTTTTTAATACAAAAGTAATCAAAGTGAATAAAGCAAAGATATATATTGTATTTAATCAGTCAATTGATATTGGGTAGAATATATGCTCAATATTTCATTTTTCAAATTTATTATTTCAAAAAACCAATAATTGGCGACATTGTTTACTGTAATAATTGTTTTTAATGAAAACACTATATGCCTTCCTTATTTTCTTTCTTTTTTATTTTTTTGAAAAAATCAAAAAAACTCAAAAAAAATCAAAAAATCAAAAAATCGATGAATTCTCAACGTAATTTAAATCTTCAAAATCGTAGAGATTGGTCATAATATAACTAAGCATTATGATATGGTAAAGTTCAAAAAATCTCTCTCTTGAACGAGATAAAAGCTTAACAGAAATAACCTTAAAAGTGCTTTTCTGAGGGTGGTCTATCGTCTATAGGGCACCCTTAAGCATAAAAAATGAAATTTTATTTTTTGCAAAAAACATGCCACCCGGATGTACGTTTATTTGAGAGGAGGAGGATTAAATTTTTGAAAGCACTAAAATTTGTAAATATGCTAGTTATATAATAATATGCATTATTTTAAAAATAAAAATTAAAGCACCTTAAAATCTTTTTTGATGAATTTTTACAAAAGCTACTCAGGATAATGCAAGATATGAGTAGTTAAACATAAATTTCAAATCAGATTTTACTTATAATAAATATTTTAAATTTCCGAAAATTAAGTTCAGATCGACTCTATACGTAGTAAATACTAAATAAGGTGCCAAAAACCTATTAAACAGTATCAAAACTATCAAGATTGTAATGTTTTTGAAGAAAAATTTATAGAATTATGGACTTCAAACAGATATTATGTAAATAAAAATAATATAATGAATTTATTTATTCGTATAATAGCAGTAATAAGTCGATTATTCACTTCTACTTCTGAGATTTGAATTTAATTTCGACAGAAAAAGAGATTCAAGAGGAAAATACTAGGGGATACAAACAGCCACCATGACAGAATTATTATGGAGCCAAGTTGTATTTTTTGATATTTTTAGAGTTTTCCTACCTATTTAGGTACCAAGTTATTGCTTAAAAATTAAGGTTCTAAATTCTGAAGTTTACATGATCCTCCCGGGCGCACCCTTAACCTCATCAAATTCGAAAACATTCATACACATTATTTCTAATGGCGTTTTTTTAATCCTTATTAATTTTTAAATAACAAGGACCAAATACTCTTGACATGTAGCCCATATCTCGCTCTTTCAAAAAAAAAAAATAAAAATAAAAATAAAAAATAAAAAAAAACTTTTATTATCACATACCCATAAATCCGAAACATTATTTTCAAAAAAAATTACCGGTTATTTGTCAGGTACGTAATTTTACATCGATCACAAATTTTTCTCATTTTGTAAATATAACGATAGTATTTGAGGCATCTTTTTTCGCATGAATCAAGGCAAAAAACTATCGATATCAGAGCCATTTGAACTATTACATCACATCCATATAACTGTTAACGCAAAAGGAACGTATCTTAATGTTCCACGCTCTATGATTGAGCACATTCCAAGTGGTTTTTCCGGAGAGGCTATTGATGATAATACAATAGATCCACAAATGCTTCCAGAAATATCATGTAAAACAAAACTCAAAATTTCCAAGCCCACAGATGTCGAGCACAAAATTCATGTCTCATTAGACAGTGAAAATGGTCTAATTGGCTTACCACCAGAATATGAGTGCTTACTGAAAAATAGTGGATTAACTAAAGATGATGTAATTTCTAATCCTGAGAGTACAGTTGACGTTCTTAATTTCTTTAATAGTGAACCGGCACAAATCGATGAATACGAACCTGATACAAAGTCAGCAGATGTACTACCCCCACTTGAAGAAGTAATAAAATATCAAGATCCTCGTCCACTTCTACAAAACATGCAAGTAATTGATGAAGGTAGTACATGCATTATTTATACAGCTATTTATAATGGAATAGAAGTTGCAGTGAAAGAAATGCATTTAAATGAAAAGAAAGAAAAATATTTACTTGACGAAACAAGATTAATGTATACAATGAAGGATGAACATATTATTCGATTTTATGATGCATATAAAGACGGAAATACTCTTTGGATAATTATGGAATACATGGATGCTGGCGCGCTTACATATGTTGCTCGCTATTGTGATTGTATGGAGCCACACATTGCATACATAGCACGCGAAATCCTACTTGCCCTTAAGTATATACATTCTCAAAATAAAATTCATCGAGATATTAAGACAGACAATGTATTATTATCTCAAAAGGGCCACGTAAAGTTAGCAGATTTCGGATATGCAGCTCAACTTACTACAGCAGCTGAAAGAAGAAATTCAATGGTCGGAACTCCATTTTGGATGGCACCTGAACTTATACAACGCACACCATATAGTTTTGCCGTTGATATATGGTCACTTGGCATATTGTGCAGAGAACTTGCAGAAGGTGAACCTCCATATGTTGATGAACCACCAATGAGAGCTACGTTTTTAATTGTTACAAAAGGTATACCAGAAATATCTGATAAAGAAAGTAGATCACCAGAATTACTTGACTTTTTAGATAAATGCTTAAGAAAAGATCCAAAATTAAGACCAACAGCAGAGGAGCTGCTTAATCATTCATTTCTCAAATGTGCATGCGATCAAAAATATATTCCACCACTTATTAAACTCGCAAAGAGACTTGCTGATGAAGATGAACAGTTTTCTAATTTCTAGTAGCTTTGTTAGCTGCTTTATATATTGTTTTATTTGTTTTTAGCTTTAAAAAATGTTATCTAATTTCGAATATCAATTACTAATCATTAGTATTCAAACAGTTATATCTCATGAATGTAAGTGTCGTCATTGATAACATGTTGTTCATTTCTTCTGCATTTCTGAGGATAAAAGTGCCATAATTTTGAGCATTTTTAATTTCTTTTTTTGTCAAGCAAATTCTATGAACAAATATGGAAATATAACATATACAATTGGAATATGGTCAGGATTTGATCAAACTGACCGTCTAGTTGCGCAAGCCAGGTCTTGGTTTCGGAGCTTTTCGGATGTATTAGTCTTTACAGAAATGACACATCCATGGGATTCTGATAAGATTAAACGAGAAGCCTTACCATGCAATGTCACCATTATAGACTTAGGCTTTGGCTACGGACGATCTGTTCGTCGTGCTGGCTATTTTTCAGGTAGACTCGAAGCCCAGTTTAGATTTCTTCCTGGTATGCAAGCCGCTTACGAAAGATTTCCAAATGCAAGCTTTTATGTATTTGGAGATGATGATACTTATTTTTTTAAACCTTCATTGATCAAATTACTCAATTCTTCAAATCCTAATATATCAAAAGCATACGGTCGATCATATTGTTCTTCAGATATCACTAAATTAATGAAACCATCACCTAATTACTGGAGTTGCCGCCATTTCTTACAAGGAGGAGCAGGTGTTGTATTTACTAACAATCTATTTGAAAGAATAGGACCAAAACTTATTAATTGCTCAGAGAAGTTCAATTCTCCATATTTTGTTGCTTCAATGCGTTTTGCACTTTGTGCTGCTAGGTATATCGGCTCAGACGAATGGGAGCATCGTATCGCTGATAATATGCAGAATGTTTTTCACAGCGAAATTCCTGATTTAGAAGTTCCGAAATATGGACTTTCTGAACCACCAATTACATTTCACAAGATGACAAAAGCAACATTCGATGAAACATTTAAAGCGCGTTATGTCAAATACAAAATCAAGCGGAAAAAATTTTTAGCGGATTTAGGCGAGATTACATATACGTCCCAAGATATTTATATGCTGAATAACAATTACAGGCTAAGTTATAGACCAGGAATGAGTATTTATGTTCCATACACTGGAGAAATGTTTAATCGAACATCCAAGTGGAAACCAATAATAGAAAACATCAGCTTAGTAGGAGCTGAACAGAGATACGGAAAATTTACTGTTAGACTACTTTTTGATGAAAATATATCTTTTGGAAAAATAATTCCTCATTCTAATTATCCGAGAAATAATATATTCATATATAAAATGCAGAAACCAGAAATAATACCCCTTAATTAGAAAGAAAGTTTTTCAAATTTTTTTATTCAAAACTATTTATTTGTATTTGTTTTACATTTGTAATAATTTATAAAGTTATAGAATGTTTACGTATACCATTTTATCGTTTACTTAGTTTATCTGAATTTCGTCAGTTATTAAGTCACTAGCTTCTCTATTTGATTACAACTATATCTTATAGAGGGAGTACGATTGACCCTGGAAAAATAATGCATAAAATACATTTTTGGATTTTATGACGAATAAAAATGAATGAAGTTGAAATAAAGAAGAAAAAAGTTAAAAAACCATTATCCGTAAATCTTGACAACACACATTACCAATTAATTCATAGCTGCGTAGAAGAAATGGGCTGGAAAGTTACTTCTTCCACAACAGCAAACACATTATTTTGGGTTGATGCCGAAGGGTGCTCAGATATCATAACAGCAATGAAACCTTACCAATTTGTTAATCACTTCCCACTCATGGCCGAAATTGCTCATAAAGTCGAACTTGCCAAAAATTATGATAAGATGTCAAAATTCTTACCGGATATTTATACATTTCATCCTCATAGTTTCATCTTACCAAGAGAGGCAAAAATTCTTAAAGAATACATGTATTCAATTCCCAAAAAATCCAATAGAACAATTATTATCAAACCTGATACGGGAAGCCAGGGAAAAGGAATCAAATTAATTCAAAATCCTAATCTTGTCGATGATTACTATGATGATGCTGTTGCACAAAAATACATTGAACCATATTTAATCGATGGATATAAATTTGATTTGAGAATTTATGTGCTTGTAACTCATATATCACCATTGCGAATTTATATACATAACGAAGGCATGGCTAGATTTTGCTCTGAACCATATAAGCCTCCAAAATCATCAAATTTAGACGAAGTATACGGACATCTTACAAATTTTTCCTTGAATAAGAAATGTGAAAATTTCCAAACAAATGATACAGATATTGCTCCAGAAACTGGCTCTAAAAGAACTTTGACAAGTATATTTAACAAATTGAAAGAAAATTCAGTTGATGTTAAAATTCTACAAGATAAAATAGACAATATAATAAGATATACAATTGCATCAATTGCTTCTCAGCTAAAGATAGCGTATTCTTCTAAAATTTTCAATTCAGATAATAAATGTCGGTGTTTTGAAATCCTTGGATTTGATATCTTGATTGATAAAGATGTTAATCCGTGGCTTATTGAAGTCAATACAGTGCCAAGTTTACAGACAGGAAGTCCATTTGATGAAAGTTTGAAAAGAAGTGCAGTGATAGGAGCAATGAAAATTATTGATTTAAAGAAAACAATTAAAAGTAGATATAAAAAAGCATTAAAGAATTGTAATATGAAAGAAAGAGAAAATATATGCTCATTCGATCCAGTGAAAGAAACAGAAATATCTAAGACAACAAATTGGAGATTGATTTATCCGGTTTCTGACAATCCTTCTGTTGAAAACACCATGGAACAAGCAATTAAATTTTCTGAAAGAATGTTTATTAAAGATAATAAATCATCTACAATAAGAAAACAGAAACAAGTAGAAGTATCCAAAGCTCCTGTAATTGAAAAGAAACCAAAATCTGCTCCCGTAAATCGACCAAAGCCAACAACAATACTAAAGCCATTAAATGCTGAAAAACCAGTTAAAGATTGTAATAAAGCTACACAAAAACTTTCAGTTTATCAACGAGAGCCAGTAAAAACCAGAAAAGTAACAATTTTACCAAAATTTGAGGAGAAAGTAAAGGTCAATTTATGCAGACCATCTCTATCAAAGCCTAATACAAGACAAAGTTCCCCTGTTCTAATGGACAGATATAAAGCTCCACTTATGAGGAGAAATATTTTTGAATTTGATAATCAATCAATTTTCTCACACTCGCGATACTTTCCAAGAGAAATTATCAGCATTTCTGAAGAAGAAAACAGAAAAGAAATCCTTTTCCAAAGAGAAGAATCAGCACAATTAATGCATTTGAGATCTAAAATTAGATTAATTTTCGATGCTTTACAGAAAAAATGATGGTAAAGCTATATTTATATTGTATTTTGTTTGTATAAATTATATCATTATTATGTTAATAAGCTCATTTACTTTTTTAAAATTATTTCTCTCAATTAAGGGTGCACCTGTATGTACGTTTATTTGAGAGGAGGAGGATTACCCTCTCAATTTTGAGGGATTCGTTAGTTTATTTTCTCGATGAATATGCAATAAAATTTGATTTTTACCTTATCAATATACTTCATATAATATACACATGTTCATGTAAAAACTTTTTTCCAAAATCCTCAGGAATTAAGGGATTTTTGAATTTTAAGAATTTTTTTCGAATTTTTTCGAAAAAAATATTTTCAGAACAGCCTTAACGGCTAAGATTTAGGATATGCTTGTCATTTTCGTGACGATAGGTGTCTTTAAGGAATAGCATTGTGTCATTATAGTGTCTTGAGTTTGAATTTTTCGATTTTGAATTTATTTTGTTAATTTTTCGCACAAAAATTCTATTTAAAATCGAAAAGTAAAACGGCAAACATCTAGTATAATACATAAACAATCTATATACTTAAAATAAAAGATAATTATTTTTTTCAATGGTGTCTGAACAAACCGTAAGACACTATTCTTCTAAGTTAACAACAATGATATGATTGAAAATGAAATTATTAATGTCGATTGCATCATCCTTAGATTGATAACAATACAAACTGCTGCATTTCTCCAGATTCCACGCATTGTCAGATTTTCAAGAGATTCTTTAGTCAAATCATAAGCCAGTCATACAAAACCGAGAAGTTAGCATCATCCTTAGATTGATAACAATACAAACTGCTGCATTTCTCCAGATTCCACGCATTGTCAGATTTTCAAGAGATTCTTTAGTCAAATCATAAGCCAGTCATACAAAACCGAGAAGTTAGCATCATCCTTAGATTGATAACAATACAAACTGCTGCATTTCTGTTCCATATTAAGTTCTGTCAAAATGTAAGCTATTCAATTCTATTGTCGGGGAAAGTATCACAAATCTATCAATTTTTTTGTAAAAGTATACAAAAACATATGGTGTTCAATTAGTTTATAATAATATAAATATTAAGATTATCCAAAATAAGAAAAACTAGGTTTTGAGAACACCTTTGAGATGATAATCAAAATATTTTGATTGAAAAATAATATATTATTTATCAGATATAGAATGGATTTTTTCAAATTTAAAAATTCTGAAAAATAAACAGTTTTGTAAAGTAAAAAAATGAACGAAAACTCGAGACCTCGTATTCCAAATGAATGGGTAAGATATATGTATGAAAAACTTGAAAGTGGTGAGTAAGGATGTACGGATGTCACAAATCTTGAATTTCAGGTGTGGTCAGACACTCGTGTCTAGACACTTTTTTGTACGTTAATATTGTACGTTAATTTAATTAGCTCGGCGTTTGCCGAGCTTGCATGCCACCAAGAACATAGCTTTAACTCGCTCACTGTTCTTGGAGGGGCAAACATTATGTTTTCTAATGAAGTTCTCTGATTGGCTCCAATTCATCTTCAGCAATCAGAGAGCTTCATTAGAAAACAAATTCATTATTTTCCCTTACCCTCGGATGGTCAGGGAATGCATTTTAACTACCTTAGAGCAAGGTTCTTCCAAACCTTCTTTAATTTATTTGATCCATTGGAAGAATCTTGCTCTATTCGTCTTAAATACAGAATCCTTAACCATCCATAGGTTAGGGAGAGTAGCAATATTAGCTTCTCATGTAGTACTTTGACTAAAATGTTAAGATCTTTTCATATCCCAGTACTTCATGAGAAGCTAATACTGTTTAACTACGCTGGCCTACTGATGGCTATAAGAACTTCATATTAATGTAAAGTTCTTTTGAGTTTCATCATCATAAGATGTAGCTCAAAGGAACTTTGCATTAATTGAAGATAACAAACATTACCAGACTAATAGATACATTACTTATGGGCAGAGCTCGTTCGAAGTCACACAAATATTGGGAGACTTCAAATGATCTCTGCTCATAATATTATAAATATACGTATCTAATTCTTTGATGCAAATATAAGTATTCAACTCACACTAATTGGGGGATTCTACTGATGCTTCATTATTGATTAGAAACATCAAGTAGAAAACACCATAAATTCATATACGCTGCCTCTACAATGACAAGAGAGCACAAATATGCATCTTTATAACAATATAGATGCGAAGTTTCTCATTGAATGAGAAACTTCGAATATATATTGCTGTAAATATGGATTTGAACTAATCTATAACTTCGTAGGAATTATAATATTGCTTATTCCTTGAAGAATGGTAACTTATTGCGGTGGGAGATCCTTGCAAATCAAATTCAATCGAGAAGGGTAATGCTTAAGCGTTCTAATTTAGAATGCTTAAGTATTGGCCTTCTCGATTGTAGAATTTTCTTAATAAACCAAGTAGAAGTTAGTATACAAGTCTTGGGTACGGCGGCACTGCGTTCCACCTTACCCAATACTTGTGAATTTGACACTTTACAAAGCCGCCAACCACTTCACTTCACTAACGAACTCACTAATGTAAAAAATAAACGTTCTCACTATCGTTCTCACTAACGACTTCACTAATGTTCTCATAAATTTTCCTCAATATCTTCATCATCAGTGTTAACCCTATTGTAGTCATACTTGAAGCCATAAACTTTCTCTAACTTCTTAACGTACAATTTACATAACTTACCTTCGTCATCGTATGGTTTAATGATATAACTATTTCTATCTTTATACACAGTCAATGAAAAGTCAACTGGTCTCGGATGTATTTGAAAGAACATGTTATGCTCAGGAAGGAAGAATAAATGTTTAAATGTATGTTTGTTATACTGTGGAATTCGAATGAGTTGCTTTTGTTCTGTCATTTACATCCAAATAAAAATTTTCAGTAAAATAAAAAATAAACTTAAAAATTAATGATATCACCACCCTCACACGTATGAAAACATAGCACAAAAATAAATTTAGGTGAAGTGGTGAGATCTCACCTCTTTTTTCACCTGTTTTTTCACCCTGTTGAATTCATTGCTTTATAACTCTCTTCCTTTCTCCAACTCTTCTAACTTCTTCTTAAGTTCAGCAATGTTGTCCTCATGAAGTTTAATCTTTCTCAAAATTCCTTCTTTATCTAATGGTTGCTTTATCTTTCTAAACTGAACTCTACCTTCCTTCATAGTATGAATGTAAAAACCTTCTGGAATAGTTCCTGATTTAATGTATTCTACCAAAAACTTTTGTTTCATTGCTTCAGTGACTTTATTTGTCATTTCAATCAAATAAAAATTTTAATATTAAATAAAAATAACGTTATTTTTTTCAGTAAGGAAACGCAGGAGTTTTACGATTTATTTGAGGAGTAGGTTCTGGTTTAAATGTTGGAGTCGGTTTAGGAGTTGACTTTTGAACAGGAGTTTGTACTTCCATAGGTTCAGGAGTCATTGAAGGTTTTGCTTGTGAAGGCGTTGGTTTTGGCGAAGGTGTTGGAGTTTGTTTAACTTCAGCTACTTCAGTATTATTTACAACATTTGCTTTATTTCTTTTCAACATCATAACTGCTCCTGCTGTAGCTAGCAAACCTAGTGGGAGACCATATCTTATATAAGGACTTGACCAAATGCTATTTTTGACAGGAGCTGGTGGAACACCTAACCTTGGTGAGACTGCTCTTTGCCATTGTGCAGCTCGTAAGAAATATTCAATAGGTGCTCCATAATCGTTTGGTAAAGTTTGTTTCATAGATGGTGAAGGTTCACGAGAGCTTGATGAAGAACTCATTTATAAGCTTTAAAAATAAACGTTCATCCTTTATTCCTCACTGTCGTCCGTAGCTAAGTTATAGTCATCTAATCTTATTATGGGATGCCATTAGCACGCACCTGAATGGCAAAGCAACAATCCCTCATAAATCCAATAAGTGGCTTTGGTACATTTTCAGTTGCTAGTTCAATAGGTCCTTTAACAGACAATTTGTATGTTATTGGAGCAGTAGATGTTTGACCTTGCTGGAAGCAAAAGTCCACTTCTGTTGGAAAACCACATAAGAAATGTGTGTTGTCATAGCTATCCCATTTATGTTCCACACTACCATCATCCACCAATGACCTCATAACATCTTCATTAAATCCTATCATATCATTGTTTGTATTGCAGGCGTTCGCAACCATTTCATAAAATACAGGTCCATATGATTTTTCAGGTTCTGCAGGCATATTTCCATAAGCTCCCATGGAAAGCTGAAGATATTTAAACTTAGGGTTCTCAAAATTAACATAATAGTTGTCTTTCTTTCTAAATAGTGCCCAAATACTTTTAACATTAATAGGCGTATAAGCTGCTGTAAATGTTGCACTTGAACTATCTGTATTCTTTGAGAATGAACCGTCCATAGGAATCCAATCCATAACTTTAACAGGAAAACATAAAGCCTCGTTTGTATAATGTTCTACAAGTTCTGTATAAATGTTAGGGTCTAAAGAGAATGACTTTGGATGAATGAAACATTCATTAAAATCCATCTTTGTTCGAAATAGTTGCTGGGTTACAGTTGTAATAGTAACTGTTCCACTAGCTTCTACTGCCTTCGTTATCATAGTGAATGGTTCATTCCATGGAACAAATTTATTTGTCGGTGGATTTGAATCTGAAGCAAATGCAACTTTAAGAGTTGGATTGAAAGCAATGATATCATTTACAGATATAGATGTGCATTGTAAGGCGTCGCTACTGAACTTTACTTTAAGCTGAATGTTTCCTGCAAAAGCTGGAATAAATCGAATAGCTTCTAATGGAAGGAATCTTCTAACAGGAATTCTTAAACGAAGCTTAAAATCAAATGATTTTCCTGCTGTAATTGGACCACTAACAATTTGTCCTGTTCTGCATGTTCCCGAATGACTCCATACATCTTCATGTCGAGTCTTTGAGAAAACATCTACTTTCTTTATTTGTTCGGTAGTTTGTGAGTTTGAAGTTAT